TGTTTGACACTGGTCGGGGAGGCTACCAGTAACTTGGCCTCCCAAGGTCCTCAGGGTGTTTCATTCCAGACATTGAAGTCCAGAATTCATGAGAAATAGTTTTGGCATTTCCTGACTGGCAAGGTTGTTACACATTCAAACTGTCGTAACTTATTTCTCAGACTCTAAGTGGCTAAAAAATTCTACTTCTTTTTTTCCTTTAGGAAACTTCTGAGTTCTAAAAATATTCTATTCCAAACATGTCTACTAAATCAATGTCATCTCAAAGATACAAGACAGTAAATCTAGAGTTGTAGTTTTCCAGGCTAGATGGAAAACTCGAACTCTCTCTAAGCAGTAAAGCAATACAATAAAGATGTCAGTCATATGCAATACGAGGGATTCCAGAACTTGTTTATTTCTAATGCAATACTTTAACATATTACTTAAAAAATACTACAGGCTACTTATGATGTAACATCTAAATTAAGCTACTCCTAGAGTGGGCTTTGTGGTTTTAGCAATTCATTTACTGGTTACAGTTTTAGAGAACAAGCTTAAGCTTTCCTACAAAATCATATTAGTTAGGTGGGACATCATATCACTACTGAGACAACAGCATTACATGCTAGCACTCAAGGGGTATGACAGATTGGGAGGGAAGTTTTGAAACTTAGTTGTCAAAATGTGCCAGAGATTATGAATGCACCATTTAACAATATTTTATAATACCTTACTTACAAAGTAAAAACTTATTCTGTAATAGGAAAACTTTTCTAAGAATAAGAAGACTGAGGATTGTTACGAAATAACATTTCAAAACACTCTTTAATCTGAAAAAATAAAACCATCAAAAATGATCAACTGACCATGCAAAGTACCACACAAATTCTGAGCCATCATTGATTTAAAAGACCACAAGAAGACAAAGACTATACTTTAGCGCTTATTTCCAAGAACATGAAGTAACTGACAGGATGACACTGAGTTATTTCCTGGTGGACTTGTACACTTAGCACTCACACCTGATTGAAGTGATAATTCAGAGTAAAGTCAGTTTTCCACATTGTACTGAGTTGAATTGTCTCTCCCCAAGTTCGGTTCTATTTAGAGCCCCAGAATGTAACATTTGGAAATGAAGGGTTTTCAAATGCAATTAAGATGAGGTATATTGGATCAGGGCCAGCTTAAACTCAATGGCTGGTATTTTTTTAAGGGGGTTACATGAAGACAGATAAAAGCACTGAAGACAATGACATATAAGGAACAGAGCAGAGCCTGGAGGGAAGTGTCTACAAGCCAAGGGATAGGGGCAACCCGCAAAAGTTTAAGTCGCTGCTTTAAACCACTTGATTTGTGATACTTTGATTTGGCAGCTTCAGCCAACTGGTACTCACATCAAATTGTATGTTACTAAAATCACTTATGGAGTGCATACATAAACCATCGTAACACTGGCACCTTAGAATTTTAAACAGAGGCTGAAAAAAGTTGACCCAAGTATGTCTCCCTCATGCCTCTCTCTATTTTTGCCTACAAAATGAGGAACAGTGTTCATGTGCTGGGACTATTTAGGCAGCAAATATATGGAGATTTTTGATTCATTTCTAACTATAGATTAAACTAGAATTCAAATTAGAACATAGCTTCCTTTGTAGAACCAGCGGTTTTCTTTTGTAAGTCCACACATAGTAACTGTAGAGAATGGTGTGATGTGCTCAGATGTAGACACTGGGCATATCAAATCAAGGTATTTAGTATATCTGTCACCTCTTACATTTATCATTTCTTTGTGGTAAGAATACTTAAGTCCTCTCTTGTAGCTATCCAGAAATAATCAATACAATATTGTCAACCAAAGTCACCCTACTGGGTAGTAGATCACCAGATCACATTCTTCCCAACAACTCTGGACCACTGGCCGACCTCTCCGCATACTTCCACCACGGGCATCCCCCCAGCTGCTCACTCTTCCTACTCAGTTTCTGTGAGATCACCGCTAGAACCCACATACGAGTGATATCACGCTGCATCTGTCTTTCTGTGTCTGGCTCATTACACGAATCATAAAGCTTTCCAGGTTCACTCATGTTGCTGCAAATGACAGGCACTTCAATGCCACAGTACTTTTGTTCCCTCCAAATTCTAATGAATGCTAAACTTGTTTAAATTTAAAGCCATGACTAGGGCAAACAAAACCCTCAGATGGTCTTCAGTCATCCTTAGGAACTTCTTACTGTTGTTTTGTCAACTTAAAACTTCTGATCTCAAACTTAGATACTTAGAGTGTTACTGGATTAACAAGAATAACATAAAATGGTTCCCCGAGACTCAGAAACCTGAAAGAATTCATGCCCCTCAAAACTATGCCAGTGGTTGTCACTACTAAAGACACCATAGAACAAAACAATTCCTACCAAGCATGGGGTATGAAGTAGTAGAAGAAAGAAATGTGGGTGAACAACGTTTTAAAAGTTTCTCCCCAAGAGCTGTTCATCCCTACTTTCTCTTGCTTTAAAATTTTAATTTGTTTACTATTATTATTGTGTGTGTGTGTGTGTGTGTGTGTGTGTGTATGTATGATGTGTATGTGTTTGTGGGGGGGGGTCCATGCTATTGCATGTGTGGGGAGGTCAGAGGCGATTTTATGGTGTTAGTTTTCTCCTTCCACTATGTGGGCTTTGGATATCAGACTTGGCAGCAAGTACCTTTACCTGCTGAGTCCTCTTATTGGCCCTTTTCTCTTTTAGACAGTCTTACAATATAGACCAAGCTGGCTCCTAACTTGTGATCCTCCTGCCTCAGTCTCCTGAATGCTGAGGATCAAAGCAAAGATCTTGTACATGCTAAGCAAGTGTTCTACCACTGATTTACACCCCCTCTATGCCTGTGTCTAAATCGTATTTTCTAGGTCCCTTACATTCTAGAGTCAGAGATCAATTATCTCCTTCCACTATGTGGGTTCCAGGGATTGAACTCAGGTCATTAAGCTTGGCAGCAAGCACCTTCACCTGCTGAGCCATCTTACCAGCTCCATGCTCATTTTAAAGACTTTATTTGGAATTATGTTTATATATATACACATATATTAATATATATATATATTTATATATGTGTATGTGTGAGTATATGCCTGTAAATACATTTGTCTATAGAAGCCAGAAGAGGGTGTTGAATCTCTTGGAGCCAGAGTTATAGGCAGTTGTCAGCTGTCAGATGTGGGTGGTGGAAACTGAACTTGGGTCTTCTGGAAGAACAGCAAGTGTTCTCTCTCCAGTTCTTACACATATAATTTAGAACTGCTTGTTATAGCAGCTAATGAGCTCCGATTCATATATACACTCTATAAAAAGCCAAAACAGGGAGGGGTAGATGACTCAGTGAGTAAAGTGTGCTCCATGTAAGCATTAGGGCTTGAGTTCAGAGTCCCAGAATCCATATAGAAGGCTGAACTCGGCTTTGTGTCTGTAACTTCAATGCTGGAGGATCCCTTCAGCTCACTGGTCAGTTGTTCTAGACAAATCAAAAAGTGGCAGGTTTAATGAGAGACCTGCCTCAAAAAATAAGGTAGAGAGTGAGCAAAGAAGACACTCCATGTCCATCTCTGGCCTCTACATGTATCACACAGCATCATAAATGCTACCCCCACGCCCACACAAATTCAAACTAAAGAAGGAAATTCTGATAATTTAAGTTGACAACATTTATGGACAGAAGCCACTGTTCAATAACTCTAATTATATCGTGTGAAACTGAAACATCATACAACATTCTTAGCTTTCTCCATAGTGGTCCTCATCAAAATGCGGCTCTACCGGACTTCAAAGGAAAAGATTTGTGTCTGACTTAGCTTGAGAAATGCTATTAAATACATGTCAAAAGGTTTCTTTCTTCAGAACATCTTAGCTCTGTTACTATAATTATACCCACTCTGAATCCTATACTTCTTTAGTCATCAAATAACCAATCAGTTCAAGTCTTTTCTCCTTTTCTGCCATAGTATTACCTAGCAGAAGAATGCTCTATAGAATATCCTGTAAAGTTTTGCTTTAACGTAATCTGCACCCTAGAGTAGGTGAATCAAGTAGTACCAAACAGTTCTACATCTTCCAAGCAAGTTTTGTTCTCTTATTAAGGCAAAGAGCTTCCTACAAAAATGGCTGACATCTACTCCTACTATGGAACCATCCAAGATTTCACTGTAGAACTCAATCAAGTTTTCTGACACTACACTGAAGGTAGGCATGGACCGTCACTTTCTGTTCCTATTCCTTTCTTTTTCTTTTTTCTCATTACGCAGTCTTGGCTGATCTGGAACTCTCTACGTAGACCAAGTTGGCCTCAGAACTACAGAGATATGGCTGCCTCTGCCTCCCAAGTGCTGGGATTATAGGCATGGGCCACCACACCTGGTATAGCTTCTGTTTCTTTTCTTTTTTCTTTTTGGTTTGTTTCTTTGTGCCCTAATCGGCTGTCGAAGAAGCCTGCCAAATTTAATGATGGAACATCCTCTTATGTTTGAAGAAGACACCAAATTTATGAATCCCAGTGTTCCAGCAATATTAAATATTCATGTGTGTGAATATATCTAGTCCACTGCACAGTATCTCATTTGTTTTTATCACTTCTATATGCATTCCTGAGGAATAATGTTTTAAGGCAATAGGAAGAAATCACTGTTAAGACAAATAATTTATTATAATAGAAACAAAAAATGCCTTGGGAAATTAGGGCTGCATTACACTCTTTAAAAAACTCACTCATCACTTGAATACACACATTATTTATAAATATAAGTAAATACAATTTCCCCATAGTGGCTGGTAAGGATATACTGCATTTGTACTACACATATGTTTTACTTTAGTTTGGAATCTGTACTATATAGTTTGCCCCATTTTTTATAGATCCAAATTGAAAACAGAGTGCTATGTTAGAGATCTAAGAATCCCTATAAAGCAAAAATGTCTGCCAAATACTAAATGTTCTCCAAACAAGAAAACTAAAAAGATGAGACTTACATCTAGCAGTGTGTGAAGATGCTGATCCTGGAAAACACTGTGTAGAAAATCTAGGTCCTTTTCACTGCAGTCTGTAAGTGCGTGGATCTCTTCCAGGCTGTCCAGCACCTGAGAGACGGCTCCTGGGGGGTGAAATGGAAAAGAAACTGCTAGTACATCATCAATGTCACACGAGATTGCAACCTTAAGCTTGCGTTTATTAAACACGGAAGGCTTACGTGTTTATTAAGGAGAGGCTTAAATGTGCTTCATGTCATTTAAGGGCAGAATATTTTAAGTGCTTATGTTCTCAACAAAGTATTTGTGTATTTTGTTTTTAAAAGTGAACTTAAGCTTGCATATTTAAATTAAAGCACTCTGTCAACATAACTCGGCTACTAGGACAGAAGATCTGGGTGCAGCAAGGTATACATCTGCTAGACAGTAAGGGTATTGGAGCCCCAAGGCATTTGCAATATTATAGAAACAACACAGGTAGACCTTTTACACAGGGCATTCCATCAGGAACTGAGAGAACAACCAACTATGGATATGAGGCACAGACCATCAATTGAGAGCTGTTGCTGCTTAAAATATGCTTGAAATTTTTGAAAAAATAGTTTTAGTTGGCTAAGACCTCAGTCAATTTTTTTCCCTTTTAAAACTATACATATGAAGTCAGGAGAACCAAAGTCATTCTCATTGTCTCAGGACCTTATACAGACCCACAGACAAAGGGATGGTAGATAAACAGGCATCCAAATACCACATGAAAATTTTTAGGAAAGTCATTTTGTAGGGCAAAGAAAATGAAGTGTTATCAGTCTCCTTACATTTCCTCAGGACCACTAGGCAGGTATCATTAGTGAAAGGTACATGTGAGCATTATTAAAGTCATTTATACAGCCTTAAAGAACCAATCACCTTGTTTTACTCTACAGAAGATATGCAAATATACATTCCATGAAAAAGAATCCCAAGAGGCACATTTGTATATAGCAAGAAAGTCTAAGAACAAGTGCTTCTTTCATTGTCAGTTAAGTCTTCAGATCAGCAGTTCTCAGCCTGGTGGGGGATTTGGATTTTTTCTTAACGTCTGGGGCTATTTTGGTTTGTCACAGTAGCAGAAGGGAGGGTGGCTATTGGTCTGTGGTGGTAGAGGCTAGGGATAGTACTGAATCCGCTCCAAGGTCTAGGACAGCACCCTCACAACAAAGAGTTGCCTGACCCAAAATGTCAGTGCTAACTTTGAAAACCCTGTTTCAGACAACAGTAACAGTTTCTAGTTCTTGTCTCAGATCCCATCCATTCCAATGAGCTCATTGGTGAGAATGTAAATCAGTGTTATTCCCCAGAAGGTAATCTGGCAACATATGTCAAGAAACCTTAAATGCTAATGTATTTAAACTTGCTAATTTCACTTACAAAAATCTACCTTAAAGAGAAAACCAGGATTCTGTACAAGGATATTTAACATATAAATGGAAGATAAATCTAATAGATAATGATTAAATTATAGGATGCTCATATAATGAATATACAGCTGAATAAAAATTGTTTTTGAAAAATTAAAGATAGAGGAAAATTCTCATAAAATTTAGAAAAGTAGAAAACACAACCATGTGACACGTTTCCTAATTATGGTAAAAAGAAAACCCAGACAGACAGATAGACAGACAGACAGACACACACACACACACACACACACACACAGAGTGTAAAAAATAGAACTAAATACACCAGAAGTGTAACAGTAGCTATCTTTTCCCTACTTAGCTCTTCCTGTTCTTATCCATATGGTCCAAGGTTTCTACAATAGCAAAACAAGTTGCTACCTAACCTACTGATTTTCATAGCATTATTTAGCTACATTAAAGTTTTGGTGTTTAAGTCATAAATCATGTGGCTATACATATGGAAATTACTGTGACTATTAAAAAACGTCTTTATTTTGGGACAGTTATAGATGCAATGCACTTGTAAGAAAAATCACACAAAGATTCAAGTTTATCCAGTCTCCTCCAATAGTATCATATGACAAAACCTTAGAAGATACCACAGTCAGGATGATGACATAGGTACAAGCTACAAAACTTTCATCCTGACAAGGTGCCTTCATTTTGCCATTTTGGTGATGCTATATAAATGAAACCAGACAGCATATAACCATTGGAGACTGACTCTTTTTTTAAACCTAGCATACCTCTGTGCAGCCATTCAGTTTGTTCCTCTTCGCTGCTGAGTTGCAGTTCATGACATGAATATGCCAGTTTGACCATTTATTTGTTAAGAAGTAACTAGTGGTACTTTTAAATTTTGGAAATTAATGCCTATCAAGCTATTGAGATTTTTACCAGAAACATAAGTAGATATTGAATGGGATAAAAAGATACAAGGTAGAAATCAGTTCTCATTGCCTATGCTAGTCCTGAAGATGTATGGACACAATCTATTGCCTTTTACCTGCTCTTAGGATTTTTACTTTGCTCAACGTAGCAACAAACAAAACCCTCAAAGAACAACAGAACCCCCCCCACCACCCTGTAAAGTAGCACAGAACCAACTTTGTTCATCCTTACTGAAAGATCTGAAAAGTTAAGAGAACATGTAGAAAAAAAAAACTAGTCCCCAATGTCCCCATGAATCTCGGATTCCCTAAAGTACATCATTACTAGCAGATTAAATGATACTGGGGTTATCACATTTTTAAAACCAGGTCTAAAGCCCTGAACTTATGAAACTTGGGTGTATGCACTCATGGCATATACACCCTCTATACACATATAATTAAAAATAAATAAAATAATTCATAATAATGGCAGCTCCTAATTCTTTAGATTGTATTATTTGCCACCACATAAAGGCAAACATCTTTCTAGATACTACTTTCAGAAGGGTCCAATAAGGTTCCAGCTAGAAAGTGGTTGAACCAGTGCTCAGCTTTGGATTTGTCTAGCTTCAAAGTCCAAGCTTTGCCCAACTTCCTATACTAATTGGCTATGCTAGGAAGCACAGAGAAAACTTTTACAATTATGGTTCATGCATATATATGGACGTTGGTAAAGAATTTGACCATATTGTGTCAACCCATAACCAAGTTCCTTACTGAATTGAATGTTTCTCCTTTGTGCCAGGTGCTAGGTAGGGGCTTCAAAGAAAACAGAAATATGCTCTCAAGCCTCAAGGGGCTCTCAAGTTGGTATATACAGGAGGCAAACTACACACCTTGAAGTGAAAGTTCCTGGGACAGGGTTGGGGAGGAAGAGGAGAATGAGCAGGAAATCCCTGCCTTAACCAGGGGATGAATCTGTTGATGGGGCCACTGGATGGATGCCTTTCTGAAAACATTGAAGGCATCTGTTAGCCTCCATCCCATGGCCTCCAATGGTCTACTAAGTCTCTGTCACTTCTGGAGTGACTTACAGTCATAGCTTATACACAAATGGGGTTCATTTAATGTACTCTCCCTCATGAAAGGGGGCATTTCTCCAGTTGTACTCAAGTCACCTACTTACAGCCCTGAAGAAAGGTCTCTAATTTTAACTTTCTGCAATTATGTAGGATAATTGTTTCATTTAATTTTTCTTTCATTTTTCAAACTGAATAAATGGTTTTGCTCTAATCTTAATTTTTCTTTACCTTTCCACTGTTATTATTATTATTATCATTATTACTGTTACATTCCCAGCTGGGGATTGAAGCCCAGGCTCCACTGATGGCTGGCAGATACTCTTCTACTGAGCGACACTCCACCCCAAACTGTGACCATTTCAATAGCTTCTTTTTAAAGTCTTATAATTTCTTTATTTCTGTTTGTGTTGTGTTTTTTGGAGGCGGGGTCTCACTATGTAGCCCCCGCTTGGTCTAGAACTTAAAAGAGAACCTCCAGCCTCTGCTGTGCTACCATGGCCTGCAGTCTTGTTATTTTTTTCTTTGGGGTTGACCAACAGAAGCGCAAAACACATTTTGGGCTCCCAGATGTGCACAACTAGCATCTCTAACCAAGCCCATCTAAAAGGTACATAGTTTTTCAATGACAGAAAAAAGGTAAGAAACAAAAATTAACATGGGGCTGGAGAGCTAGTTTAGTGGCTACACTTGCAGAGGACCCAGGTTTGATTCCCAGCAGTCACATAGTGGCTCACAACCATCTGTAACTCCAGTTTTAGGGGATATGGTGCTTCTTCTGATCTTTTTGTATACATGTATATACACGCGCGCGCGCGCACACACACACACACACGTAAAAACATTCACACACATAAATAAAATAAATAAACCCTAGTTAAAAAACAAATGGACACAAAGATTTTGGTAGGTCTTCCCCATTGCTATTGCTTCTGATTTTAAATAGAGGTACTAGTGGTAATCAAACACACAAATGGTTAAGCTGTTACTACTATTGATTTTATATTGTCATATAGGACTTTTTCAAAGATGGAAAATGATACTTTTCCTATAAAAGCCTGGAGTAAATTTCTAACTACCTTAAAGAAACAAATCAGCCAATAAGTAGTCCACAAGTTCTCCCTAGGAGACAACTGCAGGAATCCTATTTGCTTTTGTATTCTGGGCTGTACTTTGTAGAGTATGTGGTTCAAAAGGATACTTTATCAAATACTTCTTGATTACAAGTATTTTTCTATTTTTTTTATTTCAAGCTTGCTTCACATGTCAATCCCAGCTCTCTCTCTCTTCCCTCCTCCAGGCTACTACCCAATCCCCACTCCATTCCTCAGGGAGGGTGAGACCTCTGTGGGGGATCTCCAGAGTCTTCCATTTCATCCAGGGCAGGGCCCAGGTCCTTCCCCAAGAGATCAATCAGACTGAGAGAGCATCCTTCACTGTGGGAGGGGCACCCAAAGTCCATCTGTATGCCTGGGACAAACACCAATCTACCACCCAAGGCCCCACTGATTGTCCAGGCCTCCTCACTGACACCCACATTCAGGGAGTCTGGATCAGTCCCATGCTGGTCTCCCAGCCATCAGGCAGGGGTCCAAGAACTCCCCCTTGTTCAGGCCAGCTGTTTCTGTGGGATTCACCAGCCCAGTGTTAACCCCTTTGCTCATCACTCCTCCCTCTCTGTCACTGGGTTCTAGCAGTTCAGTTCAATGTTTAGCTGTGGATGTCTGAATAAATTATGAAGATTTTATAGTTAAGTATTAAAATAGAAGAGCTAAGGTTAAAATAGGAGATTTTAGAGCTAATTACAATTATCCATAGAAAATATTTTTATTTTTTGGAGACAGAATCTGACTATATATATAGCTCAGGCTGGCCTCAAATTCCTGATCTTCTTGTCTCAGTCTCCCAAGAGATGGGGTTACAGGCGTGAGCTAGCATGCCCAGATAAAAACCATAGTGGAAATTATTTTTTTATTCTTGCTATCTTATGTGATTTTATAATAACCCTGTTATGTAAGTAAATGTTTTTATATTTGAAAAACTGGAGGCTTATCAGCATTCAATAACCTAGCCAAGGGCCACTCTCAGGCGGGAGTAGAGGAATGAATCCTAGCACCAACTGTGACTCCTGTCCCAGTGTGCTCTCTATAAACTCAAAGCACATATGACCTCAGCAATGCCCCCAGGTCACATTGCAGTAATGCTGTACTCCAATTTCTATTCTCTTTTCATTTCATTTGCATTTACCATATAAGGTTCTTTTCTAGCATTTGATCCAAATTCTTACACTGATACATTTACAATGATACATTTGCAATGATATCCTGGTTTAGGATAATACTTTACACAGTTCATTCAGTAATCATGTGTTTCTAAAAATTCAGGTTGAAAATCATACACTTGAATTGTAAACATTTCTACTTTTCCAAAGAATCTTGCTTCTCAGAAAGTTTTTCTGAAAAGTGTTCTCTTGCTACTATGAAAACAAATAGTCAAAACAGCATAAATATATCAGCTACCTTAAAATGTTTTCTAGGCCTATTTATTTAAAGAGGAATATGTTTTTAAAGTCAATAAAATCTTTGGATCCAGAACAGTTTCATTTCAAGAGTGGAAAAGTCTCACAAAAAATTACCAAGTAAAAATAAACCCAAAAGGACAGCAGAAAAATAAACAGAATAATATTTAAACTATGAGGTTCTCAGAGTCAGTGTAGGTTGAGTCCCTCTCACCCATCACCTCTTCCCACATAGCAAACTATGAACAATTCCAAACGGGCAGAAAGTCTGACAACCACCCAGTTCACAGAGTTCTTAACAGCTTTCTGTACTGCTCTATCACATACGTGGATAGTCAGCTAGCCATCTGGCAATTCATTGTATTTCTCATCCCTGTCAAAATGGCAGAGTGGCCAACACTAGTTACTTCACTCTTAAACAGTTCAGCAAAGATTTCAATTCTTACCCAGGCAAAATTGAAATACAGCAAAGTATACAAATCTCAAGTTCACCATTCAGTGGGCTTTGCTGTCTCGATGTTCACCTGGCAGTTATTTCAAGAAAGATCTGTGTGCATTTCTCGTATACATGTATAGCTATGGAACTTGGTAACACTGGCAAATGCAGCATGGGAATGCAACTCACTTCTTCTGAAGGGTAAGCCATACCTTCTAGTGCCTATTTCAGGAGTGGTTCATTAACACAACACTATACACACACTCTCACTGCCCAATCAAAGCTCTCTCTTGCAAACATGATACCTTTTTTTTAAAGACAGGGTCTCATTATGTAGCTCAGGCTGGCCTTGAATTATGATTATCCAGTCTTAGTCTCATTGGGTGCTGGGATTATAGGTGGGAACTCTGTCCCCAGCTATGCAACATAATGTTTAAAATTTTGTTTTGCCAGATTTGGAGGCACATGTCTTTAATGCCAGCACTCATGAGACAGAGGAAGGCAGATCTCTGTGAGTTCAAGTCCAGCCAGGGCTACATAGTGAGACCTGGTCTCAATTTTTTTCTTTCTCAAAAGTGTACTTTATTAAGTTAAATTCACCAATTTATATGTACACTGTCATCACTCAAAAATATTCCCAGTGTCTAACTGTAGTCTGTCTCTTCTTACCCCCTCATAGCCAACAGCTTTTATTTTCAACGCACAAAGCAAATTTGGGCTTTTAATCAAGCTATGAGAAATAAGAAATTCCACAATGTAAACTGTATTTTAAACTGTGGCATATGCACTATAAGCAATTCCAGTTCTGAAAATTTATATATAATGGTACATATCTCAGACTCTTTATGTGTGTAGATAATGGTATAGGTACCTCAAAAATGTATTAGCTTAAGTTTCTTAAGGAACTCTACATATATGTTTCATCAGCATATTGAGGCTACAATTCTAGTGGCATCATGTTTATTAAAATAGTCTGTTTCCAAGTATTCTTCATTTTTATTTACTTATTTTTTGAGACAGGATATCACTATACAGTCCTTGAACTAATAGAGAGATTTGTCTGCCTCTGCTTCTCAAATGCTGGGATTAAAGGCATGCAACAGTAGACATAAGTAGTAAAACATGTGACCGTAGGCATAAATAGTAACTTTTTGGGCATTATTTTTTCAAAGTACTTTAACAATATTCTGCTAGCCCTTAAATGCTCATTTGTGCACAGTTTTATACAGATTGGTACACATGACTGATAGGATGCTCATTCTCAATTGTGATGTTAGCTGTGGCTGATTAAACAGGATAGCGAGAGGAAAAGGAGAGAGAGAAGGGAGGAAGAGATTGATTGTTTGATTGATTTCCATTTTTACAGGCACCAGCATGGATATATAGGTAGCTGCTGGACCCTTAAGGTCCTGTCACCTGCTATCCCTACTGTTTGTGATCAATTACTTTTCCTGGCATGGGGACTGAGCATATAGAATGTTACTTCTGTGGCAAGGTTGAAAAATTGTTCCCTGTCTTGGGAAAACAAGGGAACAACTCTTTAGTCATTTGTGTTGGGGCAGCAAGCTGCCAGGTTGTGAACAGCCTTGTAGACAAGGCCACAGCCAGTGAGGAACAGAAATTTTCCATTAACCACTGGGTGGCTTTCAAAGTCATGCCTCCAAAGGGGGATGGCAGCTGTGGAGTGCCATCGCAAGACATCTTGAGGCAGAGGCACTTAGCAAAGCTACGCCCACACTTCTGACACATGGGTGCTTTGGGGAGGAGGCACAGATCACTCAGCCACAGATCGCTAGTATATGGTGAGGTTTTTGTAGCTATAAATATCAAATGGAATAAAAGTGACCATGAATTTAATTGTTAGCACTCAGATTTTCTAATTTATCTTTGTCTCTTATTTACTTTCCTTTAGGAAGCATCACTTTGAGGCAAAGCTATATTTTGCATTTTGAATACTGACATTGATGCAATCTACCCATGTTATCTGGACTGTCTCAGTTTTACTTACTTATGTGTGCATATTTCTTATCGATCAATTTTCTCACATATTCAAATTACTTTTTTTTTTTTACAATGAAAACATACCCATCATTGCTCTTCTTTGTTATTTAGTTTTTTGAGACAGGGCCTCACTCCATAGTCCAGACTGGTCTCCAACTTGTGACCTTTCTGCCCCAGTCTCCTGAGTGCTGGGGCTGTACCACTGTACCTCTGTGTCTTCCAGTCACTATAGCTGATGGTGAAGTTGTTAAAAGACTTGATTTCAGGGCTTACTTTACAGCCCAACATTGATAAACAGAATGGACCCTGTATCAGTAATAAAACCCATTTATGTGTAAAGAAGCTGTCAAAAGAAAACTTGGTTACCCCTAAAGTTTTCTTGAAAGACAACTTCAAAATAAAATGTTACCCTTTTCCCAGAATATATTTGTGTTTGAAATTCACATGTGAAATATTAAGTGTGGTCTCCCCCCAACTTTTGAAAGAAGCAAGAAATGAAGTTGAATGACAATGCCTCAGGAAATCAATATATATACACAAGGTCTCCTTTTATGGTTAGACAGTATTAAAATTCACATTTAAATATCCAAACACAAACAGCCATGGAAAAAGTCAAGCCAACTATTAACCATGCAAAGCCAAACACTTTTGCATAAAGATAAACCTTAGAGGTAAACAAAGGGATACCTACTTTCTGCTGCTAGAAGTCCTAGGAGGAAGGCAGCATATGGACAAAGGACAAACATGATTTTAGAGCAAGCAGGTTATCAAGCCACAGTTGGGCCTACTAGATAAGCCACAAGCACAGCCTCCCCAGGCAATCCCCCCAAAATTTCAGACATCAATTACTGGGATCTAATTCTAAATTCTTTGCTTTGGAATATGAGAACAATCTATTTCTATTTTGAATTAAGTACCAAAGCAACAAGATACTGCTTACCATAAGATTAACCTTAGATAATCTAGTAAACGCATAATGAAGTTCAATAATTGAAATAGAAAAGCATTTTTCATCAAAAAATTGTTTTACATTACAATGATACACTTAAACATGCCCAACTTTTCTTTGGATGACAAGTTGGGGAGCTAATTAATTTTTAAACTGTGATTTTAAATACTCACATTTTCTCAAATGCATACTCATTACAATAATAAACTTTAATTAAAGGAAACAATATGCCATATTTTGTGAGCAAGCAGCTTTAGTCCCTGTTCTCAAATTTCAGATGTTGTAGAGAGAATTTTAAGAAATTTTCTGAGACAAAATTGGGATTGCCAATTACTACTTTCATGAGGCTTATTAAAAAATGTACCTACATATCAGTTCATAAGAATAGAAAATGCATTATTTAAGGTAAAATACCAAGACAGTCTGTGGAAAGAATGGGCAGCTGGGGAAATTCTGTTCCCTGTCTTCTCAGCCCTTCCTGCCCACCCCCAGCACCACCCTACAAGTATAGGTTCTACAGCCATTTCTTTCTCTTGTCTTGGGCTTGGATGTACTTGCAGGTAACCACATAAAGGGCTTCTGGTTTTGTAGTGTAAAGTAAACCCGTACAAATTCAAACAGAAAGACAGAGGAGAGGATAACTTTGGGAATTTAAAGTAAACAAGCATAAGGATAAACAGAGAAGACTTTAGGTTTGAAAATTAATGAAACTACTAAAAATGAGATGGAAGTAATGAAAAACAAATGTAGATATTTTCATTTACAAAAGTGCAAAGCTCTATTTGAGTCTAGATAAAATACAGAAATGGCTCTCTGCAGCTGATGCACCAGTGTTAGCTGCAGAGAGGACATGGGTTGGCAGATGGCTGCTTGGTCAGTAATGCTGATTAGGGCAGAATGCCTTCCTCAGAAAGACTTAGTATTAAAAATTAATTTTAGAAATGTATGAATAATTTCTGATAGTTATGTGAAATATGTAGGAAAATGTTACACTTTCCTTTAAAATTCTCCTTTGCTTTTGTCTACTGACTACATAAAAATTTCCTCTTCATGAGGTAGTGATTTACATTTAGATTTTATTTCTTCTACTTTTGTTTGTAGCACCCAGATTGCACCACTGGAAAAAATCCTTTACAGGTATTTACCATAGCCATTTAAATATATGCTACTTAGAAGATCATGAAGTTCCCAGAATTAAAGAAAAGACAAAGGAGAGAGTACAGGAAAGGGAAGTCAAGAAGGAGAGGAGTGCTCACTTGTGAATAATTAATATGAAGTCTTGCAGGGTAGCCTGCAAGATGGCAGAGGAAGTTTTGCTGTTGTTGTTGCTTAAACAAAACCGTATACTAAAAAAATTGTTTCAATCAAACCACTTAAAGATTGTACTGAAGAAGGGAAAATGTAGGTGGTAAAAACATACTTAATATAAATAAGCATGTCTATGAGTATAGATGATTTCTTTCTGTGAAGAAAAATTTCAACTCTTCCAGAAAAAGAACATTCTCAGTGGGTAGAGGAAAATACTAATTAATGGCAAATTCTGGAGATTAGGTCTACAAAAAGTGATTCACAAGGACTACGATGTTTTCTAAGCCCATTTCAAAAGACAAAAGTGATGGTATAGACGTTGACCAGAAATTACAAAGAGATAAGTTATTCTAAATATAGTACAAGTTGTGACGCTATCATGTCATCACCAATATTAAATAAAATCCATGTCTGGATCCACTCTCCCTAAATAAGGTTAACTGTAATCTGCTGAACGCCAGAAGAGATATGTTCAAGCTCTAAAAACTGTCCAGGGAATGGGAGCAAAATATAGTAGGGAACAAAGGGCAGAGACAAACTGGTCCAGAGCATGTGTATAATGACGACCATGGCCCAGCCCAGTGCACCAGAAGGGCTCAGGTAGCTTCTAAGGCAGCACAAGAGGAAGCCTCTGGGCTTTGTCTCCAGTCACTTCTCTAAGCTTCTGAATGTGTTTGGAAATCACCTTCACTCGAAAGAGGAAGATTCATATCCCGCTTGGTAAAAGTCAAAAGGAGGAAGCGCACACCTGCTGGACTGGGAAGGTCAGTGCTGTCATTGTGCATATGGCGTAGGCACACTGATTGCTAAGAGAGTGTGAGTCTCTATGTGCATGGAGACAGAGCAGAAGCAGAAGCACTGACAGGCATTCCCAGACCCACCAGGGAAAAAGCCTTCATATTGCTGCTGTAGGAGGGGCTTCAAGCCTGGATTCTAATGCTCATACACAGATATTGAAGAAGACAGTTTAAGCATATGAGAACCATTCAGAAGGACAAATTCTACCACATAAAAATTGTCTCCAACAGAAGTAAAGCTGAGGCCAGATGACACACACCTCAGGAGTTAAGTAAACAAACAAGAAGGAGCCCATGGCCAACACTGGACAGCCACAAGATCTGGAAGCTGGATGGCTAAGACACCTAGGGTGGAACCAAACATGATTGACAAAGTCAATGAAATGACTCCAAATGATATTTTGCTATATTCATAGATTGGTGCCTACCCCAATCATCATCAGAGAGGATTCCTCAGGCACCTGATGAGAGCAGATGCAGAGCCCCACAGCCAGACATTAAGAAGAGCTCAGAGAAGCCCCCGGAAGAGGGGGAGGAAGGATTGTAGGAGCCAGAGGGGTTAAGGACACCAGGAGAACACAGCCCATAAACTAAGAAGAGCTCATAGGGACACAGAGACTCAAGCAGCAATCACAGAGCCTACATGGGTCTGAGCTAGGCCCTCTGCACGCATGCTGTGTTTGTTTAGTTTGGGGGTCTTGTTGGATTCCTAACAGTGGGCCTGTCTCTGATTATTTTGCTGCTTGTGGGACCCTTTTCTTCCTTCTGAGTTGCCTTGTCCAGTTTTGATATGAGGGTTTGTGGCTGCATCTTGTTATGCCTTGTTGAGTTGGCATTACCGGGAGGCTTGCTCTTTTCTGAAGGGAAATGAAGGAACAGTGGATCTGGGGGAGAGAGGAAGTGTAGGGGAAGACTGGCCAGGTGTGGAGGGAGGAGAGGCTGTGATAGGGATGCATTGTATAACAGAAGAATAAATAAAAAGAAAAGAAAGAAGTCTAATCACTCTGCATCTAAATTGGTCATTTAGATTTTTAGTGAATGGTCCTGGGGAACACCTCACTGGTCAGATGTCAATGTGAGCATTTTATAGAATGATTGTGTGAGCACTAGCATGTTTTTCCCCCTCAGGAGTACTTACATATCATTCATCAAAACAGGTAACTCTTCTATGAGCTTCTTCCTTGAATACTTTCACGCATGAGTTAGAGACTTTACAGAGAGAAGAACTTGGTAACTGTTTAAAGCTCACAAGACAGCTTTTACATGGAAGACTTAATTTCAAGCAGTGCTGTCCCCAAGTCTGATCCCATGTGGTAGACACGGGAGGCTCTTACATTAGAAGTTTTTTGCAGGGGGAAAAGATGATCATCTAGACCCAGCGAGTCTGATTATGACCCTGGGGTGGGTGAAATGGACTGTAGAGTTTGGAGTGTACAAAGGGAAGAAGTATCGAGGTAAAAAGAAACTGGCACAACGTTGGTCTGGGAGCATTTGGGGAGGAGCTCTGGTATCCAAATAAAGAGGAACCAGACACCTGTAGGTAGGATTTGGTGGGTGACAAACTTCCTCAGAATCTCTTGGAAGACTTAACTAAATTCCCACAAAGATTATTCAGAATGGACGAGAAAAGATAGACGTCAATTAATTCACACAGGTGAATGAGTGAATTTCCCAATTACCTGAGGAGGTAGGGTCTTCCGAGAAATCTGGCAACTCTTCAGGAGGGTCCCCGTAAAAGGAGTTGAATTTGTGACTCGACACAGCAGCTAGTACTGCACCCTAATACAAAAAGATGAAAAAGCATAAAATTAAAACATACACACAAACATAAGGCATTACCTGAATGGTTATTTACCTTAAGGATTATTTTGTTTGTTTGTTTCAGACAAGGTTTTTATCTCTAACAGGCTGTCCTGGAACTCATTTCATAGATCAGGTTGGACTTGAACTTACAGAGATCCACCTGCCTCTGCTGGGATTAAAGGCGTGGACCATCACTGCCTGGCACAGAAAGTAAACTTGTAAGAAATGCTGGGAGAGCAGTGGCTCTCAGAATGATTTTGGATTACTTTACACTAATTCCAAATTCAGAATGAAGTGTATGAACTAATTCCTTCTTGAACTTACATATATATCACATAGTACAAGACTTTGTCATAAAATTATGTGGCAGAAGGATATTTAGTAGAATAGAAAGATGTTTGCAATAAATTATATTTTAAAAAGTTTCCACCAGGTGTTGGTGGAATATGCCTTTAATCCCAGCACTTGGGACACAGAGGCAGGCAGATCTCTGCAAGTTCCAGGATAGCAAGGGTGTTACCCAGAGAAACCCTGTTTTGAAAAACCACAAGGAAAAAAAAAGCTTTCAAAATAGTAAGCCTGATTTCTTCTTTGGGAAAAAGTTAATAAGTATAAAACAGTAAACATATACGAGAATATTAACATAGTATCACTGAGTAGTAGGATTGTTTTTTTATTTTTCAATCTTTTTCCTCTTCTCTTTTTGTAACAATGACTATACTACTCTTGTACATCAATTATCAATCAGGCCACACATTAGAATCAACTACATGCATTTTTTCAATTGTTGAGACTGGGTATTGTGTATCACAGACTGTCCTTGACGTTGCTGTGTAGTTGGGGCTGCCCCAAACTCTTGATCCTATTGCCTCTACCTCCTCCCAAGTGCTGGTATTCTAGACATAATATATTATAGATATAATAGCACACCTGTTTAGGAACCCTAGTAGAGAAGTACTGCCATACTGAGTGCCTGGCGTCTTTTAGGACTACAGTGTGGGGCAGCAATGGGAGTTATTGTTTTAGTAATAGGAAAAGTCATAAGCTGCCATGCTTGCTCTCTAGCTCCGCCTGGTTTGAACTACAAAACATTGCTTGAGTACATCATTAAAGCTGTCTAGGTTTTCTTGTTCTTGTGTATTTGAGCATGTTTATGTGGATGTGTGTGCACACACGTGAAGGGCAGAGGTCAACCTAGGTGCCATTCCTCAGGAGCCATCCACTTGTTTCCCAAGACAGTCTCTCAGTGGGAACAGGGGCTTGCTGATTGGACAAGGCTCCTCATCAGCAGGCTCTAGGCATCCTCTTGTCTCTGCCTCAGGGCTGGGGTTGTGTGTTCTTCTGTGGGTGCTAGGGATGGAACTTAGGTTCTCATGCTTGTGTAGGAGGCACTTTTCTGACTGAGCTATCTAGCTCTTCAATGCCTCTCTAGGCTTTTTCAAATCTGTAAATTGAGAATATGAAAGGGGATGTACCTTACTTTACTCTGTTAAATTGCCAACAGTCTTAATGTACACAAAAGTGCTTTGAAAGCTGTTGAACATTCTGGAAGTATATACCATTACTAAGTCTACTAAAATAGAGGAAGAACATAAGTGTAAATCTTTTGTTTCTCTATATAGAATTGTTCACTTAGGTAGTTTAAATATCAAATTACCAAAGTGGTCTAAGTCTATTATAGTTTCCTTGTAACTTTTCATGATTTTTTTTTCTGAGAGGAAAGATAAATCTGCCATGTATGTAAGTACATAAAAATGTTAGTGACAATGCGTTTCCAAAGGTCTACTTTTTGGGGGTCATGTTAACTTTTTTCCTCTAAATTTTAGTTGAAAAATAGACAATAGGAAGTAAAGAACCAATGCCAGATTGTGATGTTTCATGTCTGTGGTTGAGGCAGGAACAGTGGGAGTTTCAGGCTAGCCTGGGCTACATAAAAGGCCACGTCTCAAAACAGCAGCCGCAGCAACAGCAGCAGCAGCAGCAGCAACAACAACTACCATAACTACCATCATCAAGAAAGAAAAAAAAGTGAAACACACACAAAACAAAACACAAATGGTTTTGATATTGCTATTTGAGGCAATTGCCTATATTTCCTGTAGTATGGGGCTAAAACAAGGTTTTAAATGAAGAATTATATTAACAATATAGGAAAAAATAGTAAATGTTGAGTTCTTTATACGGAAGACTCTTGTTTTCCTTCTTTTTATTTATTCTTTGTGTCTTTCACATCATGCCTCTGGATGAGCAAGGGCGGGGTCAGTTGTCCCTCTTTCGCATCCTCAGGGTTAGTTCTCCCACACCACACCTTTCAGGGCCAGCTCTGTGCTGCCCAGGTGAGACATAGGTCTCCCGAGTGCTGCAGCTGATAAGGAGCAGGGACAGCTCTCTCACTCTTGTGACCTCAGGGCTAGTTCTCCCACCCACGTCAAGTGTGGATGGGGGGGGAGGAGAGGGGAGGGCATCTCTTCCTAATCCATGCCACCACATGACAGATGAGTAGCAGAGACAGCTCTCCCATGCTCACATTGGGGCTGGCTCACCCACACCTCTGCCAACTGTACTGCCCAGGAGAGACACAGGGTCCACTTTCCCGAGTGCTTCTGTTGGTAAGGGGGAGGGTCAACTCCCTCATCCACCACAGGTGGCAGGGGTAAGGAGGAGTACATCTTTCCCTTGCCCTCATCACAACATGGCAGACAAGGGGAATATGGTCAGCTATCCTACTCCCGAAGCTATAGAAGAATCTTATTTTACTTTGCTTATTATACATAGTCCCTAAAAGCTGGGCAGAATGGAACTGCTATGCATCGAATCCTATTTTCTATGCACCCAAATCAGAATTTTAGAGAAGTTCAACTGAGTTTCTTGGAATGTTAGTGTTAGGTTTTAAGGCTTTCCCCAGCTACTTCTGTAGCTGAAGATCCTATAAACAAATATTACACCAGTACTTAAAAGAGCCTGAGAGAAAAATTGCCTTGAAACAGTGAGTTCCTGATTTCTCTGGCCTATGGCTAGAAGTTTGGTTTATTTAGTTTTCTCAGCTCAGTGACCATACATGGTTCCACTAGGCAATTATGTGGAATAGGAAAACAGTTTCAAAATAGCTCAGAGTCACAGAATTTTATTATGCTTTGAGAGCCAGTCTCAGTGACGGGCCATTCTAAAAGATTCATTTCATAGGTGGCAAACCTGAGATCCAGAAAGGCTTAGCAACCTGTCATGATTAAAAGAGTAATCAACAGTGCTCAGAACTGAGACCCACTGATCATTCTTCCTAATTTAAGGGTTTCTACTCTACCAGGAGTTAACATTTTCTTTTTACTCTGAAAAGGGATAGATCATAAATAGTTTAGTCTTAGAAGGCTACGTGGTTTCTTTTGCTACTACTCAACTCTGCCATGAAAACACACAAAAGCAACAACAGACCACATGTAAATGAATATATGGCATTGATTTTCAATAAAATTTAACAACCCTCAAAGGCTGGACTGGACCCCCAGGCCACTGTTTGCCACCTTCCACAGTACACTACAGCTAGTGAACAGCCAGTTGGGTACAGCAATATAAACAATAGCTTACATAAGTGGTCCTCCATTTTTTTGGTTTATTCAACCTTGACAAAGAAGCTTGCCCTTCAAATTTACTAGGTATGCTTTAGCATGTTTTAAGGATGTAACATAATTTTTAAGTTAGGACTATTCAAAATCTGTTAAGAAAACTATGATAAAACAAAAACTTTTCAAGTACTAAAACAGCATTCCTAAACTGCCTTGTCTTATGCAGTTCAGGGAAGCTGGAGGAGACTGATGAGCAGGCAGAGAAGCAGGCAAGGAAACTGTTGCAATTTGCAAAACCTATAAAGGATAGCCATGGAGAGTTGTCAGAAATCTCCAATGCTTGTGTTCTCTTCCTTTTTAAAAGAATTTATTTCACAACTTCTACATGTATTTAATATATTCTGGTCACACCTATTCCCCTGCATCCTCCTATTTTCATATCCTTTTGTTTTGGGTCTGTTTTTACTTTGGGTCCTCCCTGCGCTTAATCAGAGCTGCCTGTATGGATATGGGTGTGGAGCTGTCCACCGAACATGGGCGATTCACTTGCTACTATACTAAGAAAGATAATGACTTCTTCCCCTGGACTGCCATTAGTTTCTCAAACTGGGATGTGGTCCCAGGAACCCTTCTCCCATCTATGACTGTTTAGGGCTCAGTCTTGTGCAGGCTGAGAGTTTATGTGTGCCCTTGAGAGGAGGGTCTTCCCTTGCTTTCTATATTAAGAGGTATGTGGTTTTATCCTCTTAATCGAACTGCTTAGTTTCAACTCACTGTAGCCATTTGCTGGAGAGGGGCTTTTAAAAGATATCCTAGGCTGGCCTTGAAACCTTCCTGCCTCAGCTTCCTCAGTGCTGGGATTACAGGTGTGTGGCACCATACTTGGCTCAAACCATCATTTCCTAAACTGACTGCAGTATATTCACTCAAATATAGAATAGTGCTTCTACTCAGATAGAATTGTTTTCTTTTAAAATCCAAACCCTATATTTATGTCCTGTTATGTTTGTTTAATAGAAATTATTTAAAACAGAAAGCACATTGAAATGAAAATTGTTATTTTGGACAGAAAATTGCTGCTTACACAAAAATCAGTAGTGACAGTGAAGGGGATCAAAATATTTTATTCCAAAACATACCACTTTGATATAAAGATTTTTAATTTATGATACATTTTTAACTGTTTGAGAATTTCATACATGCACACATAATGTGTTTTGCTTCATTATACAGAAATAGGCTTTCTAGGGGTCAAAATAATTCCTGAAGCAAAGGGGATAACTTTTGGAACAGATATCTTATTGAGCTTGTCCCTAGCTTAACAAGCTCACATGCCAATAGACTCCTTTAACAGCTGGTGCCCAAGATAGAAGGCAGTACACCCTCTCGTGATGTTTAATTTCTACTGTCAACTTGGCTGCACTCGGAATCACCAAAGATTCCAACACTGGGTGAGTCTATGAGAGTTTCTCGAGAGGGTTAACTGAGGAGGGAAGATCCATCCGATTGTCACAGCACCATTCCTTGGTCTGGGGACCAAGACTGACTAAAGAGAAAGGACACCAAGCACTGGCATCCATCTCTCCTGGCTTCCTGACTGTGGACAGACACAACATGACTCCTTTTCTCACACATGCTGTCACGTCCTCACACATTCGAACGGTAAGGCTAAGTAAACTGTCCTTCCTTAAGTTGCTTTTGTCAGGCATTTTGTTGCAACGAGACAGTAACTAATATATGACTTAAGGAGTCCACACTTCAGAGCACAGATCTCTTCACAGCCTAGATAACACATGAACATTAAACCTCCCTTTACTCCGGCCCTTAATTCTCCCAGGAACACTGGTTTACACGTCTTGTATTTCTTTTCTGGATTTATTCCTGAACATTTCATTATTATGCTGTAGTGCATAGACTTGTTACTTAATTTCCTCTTAAGACTCTTCACTGCTCATATACGAATGGCTGGTTCATGTCTGTGTAGTGATTCATAACCTATACTTGTTATGAACTTGCTCTTTCTAGTGAATTTCTTAGGATTTTCTACAATATGGAACCATTTCATCTGCCAAGACAGTTTTGTTCTCTTCCCAGATGGAAGCCTTGTCTGAATATATTACGACCCAGTTATCTCTACTTCTGATATGTTCCACGTGATGCTGATCTGCTGGTCCACAAACCTCACGTGAGAAGTGTAGAGTGGTTTCTCTTCTTCCTTAGTTCCAGTAACTTACAATCTTGGTATGAAAACATTACAGGGAAAATCCCAGAAGTCAATATTTTATATGCTTTAAATGACCTTGATAATGGCATATTGCTACAATTATTGCATTTTACAATGAGTTATTGTTAATCTTACTGTTCCTAATTTATTATTCACTGTATCAGAAACATGTTTATATATATATATATAAAACAGCAGAATATATGGAATGCAAGACAGAAAGATTTCAGGCACCTAATGGTCTTACATGTTACATGACCACTATACTACTTGGGGAAAACAGTGGCAAGGGAATATAATTGCATAAGTAGAAGACCTTCTTGTAGATAATGTAAAGGAAAACGATGATCAAAATAAGTGAGAAAAGTTTAAGCATAATTTTTTTGGAAGAAAAATAAGAACAGAGATTATTCAGCAAATATTTCCAGTGTTTTATGTTATTTTTAAAAGTTCCTAAGGGTTGGCAAGGTTGCTCAGTGGGTAAAGGTACCTGCCACCAAGACTGAATCTTTGAGTTCAATCTCTGGAACCCACATGGTGAAAGGAGAAAACTAACTCCCACAAGTTGTCCTCCGACCTCTACATGCCTAGCGTGGCATGTATGATCTCTGTCCTTTAGGCATACAAAGTAAATAAATAAAAAGTAATAAAAGTTCCTAAAAGCTCTAAAATATTAAAGTTGAATGACTAGCAAGAATCTGAAATGCTATATAATGCTTATTCAGGAATTACAGTTATTTATAGATCACTAAATCAAAGGTACTACCATTAAAATCATAATAATGTATTAACAAAAAGCACAAAGTTGTAGTAAAACCCATCTTTGGAGCATTTACCACAGTCTAGTTTTCTTCTAACTGCTGTAAAAGTAACTCATTGAATCCTGCTACTCCTAGAATTAGCAGCTACCACTATGCATACTTTACAGATAGTGACACACATCGAGGCACAGAGATGTTAGGTAATTTTCTTAAGGCTTTCAATGAGGGAGAGTCAGAACTGGGCTTTCCCTACCCATCATAGCAAGGATGCTCTTCTGTACTGCTGCATGAGTCTTACTTCTTACTTCTTCTGCTACCCGTGATCAAAATTCAATAATCAGCTTTCAGTGAATTTTCTTTTTTAATCACTTCTAAGGTAGCCTTAAAATTTAGGCTGCTGCACCATTTGGGGAACTTCAAATCAGTGTCTGCAGTAAAAAATGAGTGGGCGCCTAGCTGTTCACTTGGGGAAATCAGCTGTGGGGTGGTAGGTGTTGTAAACCAGGGAAGTTACAACTTTTATTCTAGAAATTCATAGGAGAGGCATAAAGAGGATAATAAGTCCTTGAGAAGGGCAGTCATGGCAAGTGTTAACCTGGTGGCTGACAAGTCTCAGGGATGCAGTCTTGCCAGAAGCTGAAAACAAGCCCATAATGATTAGGCTGACGTTCCTAATTCTATGTTGCTTGGCTGGTCTTGAGACTTTAAATAGCCTGCAAAGGGATGTGGTAAATCCACATGACCCCTATTTGTTGTGATAGTTTGGCCCTGTCCAAATGAATCTTAGTCACCAGTTTGGCTATTTTTGGTCTAAGTCTGCTTCTGTGGCACCAGGGGAAGAACATGTCTCCTGTGATGGGCGAGTCCAAGCCTGAGTGAAGCATCTGTATTTGGGCAATGAAGGTTCAACCTTGCATAGCGTAATGTTATGTGAAGCCAAAGCAGGACCAGGGATTAAAAAGATTTAGAGAAGAGTTAAGAAAGAAGCACAGACACAGTTTCTTTGGACAATTGGACAGGAAACAAACTGCAAAAGAGCTGACTAAATTTTACTCTGAATGATGTTTGTTTCATTTGATGCCTATACCAGTGTAGATAGATGTCAAGGCAAAGAAACTCCTTTGGCCGGGTGGTGGTGCACGTCTTTAATGCCAGCAATGGGGAGGCAGATGCAGGCAATCTCTGTGAGTTTGAGACCAGCCTGGTCTACATAGTGAGTTTCAGGACAGTCAGGGCTACACAGAGAAACCCTTAAAAAAAAAGAAACTTCTTTGGGCACTACCTCAATGATGGCATATTATTAATTGTTTTTGTCAAAGATTTTCTAAAGGCAGATAGAGAAGAGCCAGTTTGAAGTCCTGACAACAAAAAATTAGGAGAAAAGTTTAAATAAGAATGTTCAACATTAATAACAATATAACAAGACTTCTCTTGCTGTTTAGCAACATTTAACATCCCAAAGAGTCTTCTACAAGGGTGGGGATGTTTTGTAACTGTGCTGTTCAGTATGGTAGGTACTAGCCTACTGAGCTCTTGAAACATGATGGTATGAATGGGGAACAGGCACTTGGAATTTTAAATTTTAAGTAACTTAAATTCACAGAGGTACATGTGGCTAATGGATAGCATTTTGGGCATTTCAGACTTCCATGGTACTATTATAACCTGAGAGTTTTTCCAAACACTTACACAAAATCTACAGCTGTGTAAAATCACTCATAATCTCCAAGGGGTAAAGAATAATAAATTAGCAGTATTATAATTTAGGACATCTGAAAATACTCAAGAAATTTTGCAGCAGGTAGGAGTCACGTGACTAGAGAGCACTATCTAGTCAGCTGTTACAGAACAGACTTACCACATTCAGCACCACAGATCAAGTAAGCTTCAGTCATTTCCTCTGCATCTCTGCTGCTGCCCCACAGAGCTGGATACCTCCACCACTGAATGCTGGCTCTTTTTCAGAAAGTTCTGAATTACAATGGCTCCCTGGGAGGGGTCATTATCATTGTGCCTTTTAACTTTTTGAGGCAGAGGATAAGGATGGCAGGTGATCTGCAAACATTTCCTTATAGATTATGGTGTGGGGCTTTCATTTATTGCTTTATGATGGTTGTTCAACTTTAGATTCAATGTTAACCTAGTTGCACTTAAAAAATTCAAAGTCTTATTCTCATTGTTAGCTTAACATTTTGATGCACTGTTTCGTTATGTAGCCCAGGAGGGCCTGAAACTCATGAACCTCCTGCCTCAGTTTTTTCAGTGGTTGGATTATAGATGTATGTCATGTTATATTTTCTGGATTATAGATGTATGTCATGTTATATTTTCTGTCAAAATATTTGTGTTTGAGAAAACAAAGCTTAGATTCATAACATAACCATATCTCTGCTATGAATTTTAAAGACAAAACAAATAAAAATATAACGTCTTCTAGTTGCTAAATTTAGTTTTGATTCCTACTGAATTATTAACTTAAATGATCTTAAAAACACACAAGTTTACTGAAATGGTAACAATTTTTAGAAATAATTTAGCTACAGCAAAAATAATGGCTAACATGAGGATGTGTCTGTAGGAATCAAAGCAGAATAAAAACATGATCATCAATTCCATCTAGTAGGCTTTTTGGTGGTTTTGAAATTTACCTTTAGTTTTCTCCTTGCATTGAATTTCCTCAGTTGTTCTACTGTTTCTGGAAGATGAATTTTGTAGGCATAACGATCCCGCTCCTATAAAAGAAGATTATGATCATATATAACTACTGAAAAAAGTAAAGAAGCTTAACATGAATTATGAAGGTAAAGTCTTAATGTGAAGTTTAGATTTAATTTTGGGAAATTGGTTATTTTATTCCAAATACTGACACATATTCTGAAATAAGGGATATAAACACTAAAATTGATGGCTAAATAGTATTTCTAGCAAGAATAAAGGACTAAAGTAATAGATTATCTAATTTATAGACCTGTGGCTAAAGTTATAATGGTTGTGAAAATATGAAATTATTTTTTCCTACTTAATTTTTTAGCTAGCATGCAAAATAACAGATTTCATTATGACATTTTCATATATGTCATTGTGCTGAGGCTGTCTTCATCATGAACCGTCAGGTAAAATGAGGCCTTAAAAATTCTGTCTATATTGACTCGGCATTGTGCACTGCCAGGAATAACTAACTGGACTACAAAAATCCCAAAGTCTCCCAACTAGGACAGACTTTTCAAGGTACCTAGTTCAGCCCCTTCCTCCATGCAGGGTCTGCTTCAGCCTTGCCCAGAAGAAATCACTTCCTTTGTGGCAGCCCTTTAGAATGCCAATAGAGCAATTTAGACTTTTATCTTAGGAAAATGAAACTAGATTCCTATCTTTCACCCCACAAGAAAGTCAACTCAAAATGGATCAAAGAGCTTAATTGTAAGACCTGAAATTCTGAAACCATTAGAGGAGAAAATAGGGAAAACATTTGAAATTGTAGGCATAGGGAAGGCTTTTCTCAATAGGACTAGGTCACTTAGCAAATAAGGTAAACAATCAATAAATGGGACCAGATGGTCTTAAAAGGCTTCTGTAGAGCAATGGAAACTGTCAATTGACTGAAAAGGCAGCCTATGGAATGGGAAAAAAATCTTTGCTGGCCAGACACCTGGCAGAGAAGTCGTATCTGAAATATTTAAAGGACTAACAAGAATTAAGAAACAACAAATTCAACAAATGGGCTAATGAAACAGACAGATCTCCAAAGATGAAATAAATATGGTCAATAAATATTATGAAACAATGTTTGACCTCACTAGCCATTTGAGAAACTCAAGTCAGAACTAGCCAGAATGCCAGTCCTTAAGGAAACAATTGACAAACATTGGGGTACCATTTAATAAGACAGTGGTCGAAATAGAAAAAGTACTCACTACAAAAGTTTAAGGAGTGAGGATGTGAGGAAATTCTGATAAAGAGCAAGCAGATTAATACATGTAGAGAGAATGCAGTGATGCAACAGTGGAGACAGATCCGATGGGAGGGACAATGAGGATGGGGCAGTGGGGATGAAGGTGCCTGCTGCCAAGTCTCATGACTTGATATTGATGCCCGAACCCACATAGAAGGAAGAACCAACTCCACACTCTATCCTCTGACCCCTCCCTCCAATGTGCGCCATGGCACACCACCCATATAAAAATATATGTAATAAAAGCTTCTTAGCACCTCAGTCTTTGTATGAAGATACACTTAATTTATCTAAGCAACAGAGTGGCTTTTTACTACGTAGTCAGACTGTTTTATACATTGCATATAACCTTTTACATTCCCAGTAACAGCATGAGTTCCAGTTGTTTTATATCATTGTCAACACTAGGTGTGATTAGTCATTTGTTAATTTGTGTATATTTACTTAACATGTATGAGTGTTTTGCCTGCATGGATGTATATGCATCATGTGTGTGCAGTGCCTGTGGAGGCCAGAAGATGGCATCAGTTTCTCTGGCCCTGGAGTTACAGATCATTGTGAGCCACCGTGTGAGTTCTGGAAATCGCACTTGAACCCTCTGGAGCAGCAACCAGTTCTCTTAACTGTTGAGCTCTCTGTTTAGCCCCAGTAGTTTTTATTTTAGCCATTCTAACACAAGTGTACAGGGGGCTCACTGTGGCATTATTTAGATTTTCCTAACGACTACTAATGTTGAACAGCGTTGCCTGTGCATCTTTGTAAAAATGTCTGCTCGAGTATTTTCACATTTTACATTACATTTTATGTTTATGGAGTTTTGAGGATTTTTTACATTCTTCAGATTAAGACTTTTATCAGATACATAATTTGGGAGGATTTATTCTGTTTGTAGTTTGTTTTTCATCCTATTAATAGTGTCTCTCAAATAATAGAAGCTTTTAGTTTTGCATGTATTTTGCAGGTAGAACAGGATGTTCTGACAGACTGAGCATGGGTAGTCCAGGAAGAGGACACCATGATACACCACAATTTTGGGTATGAGTAACTGAAGTTTGATTCCAACTGTACTGGGAAAACTAGGGCAAGCATGGCAACAAATGGGGTTTATAGTTGATTTAGAAAACACTTCCAACCTAACGGCATAAACAGTTTCCCCAAAGTGTTAGGTACCGACAATATGGAAGTCAGTTCGGAATGGAAGCACTGAGATGATTGCCTAGTGTGAGACAGAGCAAGCACATTTCATCAAAGCTTCTGCTGAGGGAAGACCCTGGGTCAGTTATTTGATGTAATGGCTACAAGACTGAAAGCTGGAGAAAGGAAGGTACATACTTTAGGGATCCCGGGGTTTCAGGAGAAAGCTTAGGCTGATATTGCTGCTATTTTCTTTATTCTATTTCACTACAGCTTTGATTTTTAACACATCCTACCCTCGGTATAAGGTTGTAGCCTGAAAAGCCAAAGGACAAGTTAACATTGACTTCAAGAAAAGCCCATGGGCAAGAGGATATCTGTGCAGGACAACACGTTGTGGCTATTTTACAGCCTGGCTTTGTCTTCCTTTCAGACAAGGAAGTTTACTACAACTGTGACACTGAACTCTGCCTGTACTCAATCCTACTGTTGTTGGGATAGGTATTCTTAGCAAGTATCGTTAATTCAGGTAGATAGAGATGTTAAACAACTATAAGGCATTCATATATTATTTGGTTTAATACTCAGATTCCTTTTCAAGACAAGAGCTGTTTTCTTTAGAGTTTTTGAGATTCTGGGGTTCAAACTTTAGGGCCTTGCACATGCCAGGCAAGTACTCTACTGAGAGAGCTGTTTTAGTGGGGTTGGTAGGATTGGAATAAATAAGAAAGACCTAGTCTTTTTAAGCAAGGAAATAATTATTTTGCTTTCATTTTTGACTCAAAACAATGTTGACTTTGGATACCCTTTATTATAAGAATTTTCATCATTTTATTTCTTTAATTTGCAGTTATTGGGGCATTTTCATTAAGTATTACATTTTAGCCATTCTAAATCAACATAACTTACGTCCCCAGTAATAAGACACATAGATACATTAACAAGGGCTAAATGTAACATAAAGTAGCTCTTTCCAGCTAGATAAGTTCTTCACTGACTTCTTTGTATCCAGATGACATGCAAGCAATGAGAATAACCTATAGTTCACACATGGCAAGTGACTCTGAGTTCAGCTTTCCAGACTTTTCCTTTTATTCTACTGACACTTTAAAACATTTCAGTGCCAGGAATCTATTCTGTATGGAGCTCAGACTACTCAAAATGAAAACTATAATCATTGAAAGAGACAAGAATTTCCAGAAACAAATATGTTATTAGCCAAGATAGGATTTGAAATGAAAGCCACTTTAACTTGTATAATGCTAAGACATTTTTAAAGGATCTTAAAAATGATTTAAACAGCTACTATTGTCCTTATTCGGCAGCAAAAGTAAATTCTAAATGACAAAAGATCTTCATTGGAGAAAACTGAGAGAAGCAAAAAAGAATAGTAATCTTATAAGCTGTTCATTTCATATCAGGAAGAAAAAATACTAAAACTAAGAAAGTAAAAAAATAGTGAAGAATCTAGTCTTTGCTGGGAAAATCAGAAATATTAGTATTAAAATATTAAAAGGTTGAATGCATATTTCAAAAGCAATATTCTTTTTAATGTTATTGGGAATTATACTTTGGATTGCATGTATGCTAGGAAAGTGCTTTATCATGAACAATAGCCCTCATTCCAAGAAATAATATTTCCAAGGAGAATCAAGATTTACTGAAATGTCAGAATTGCTTTATAACACCATTACATGTCATCATCACCAGGAATTCATTATTAACCAATATTTTTACATATCTTAGTATCTTGCATATTCCTGGAGGAAGCAGCATGGTAGGTATAATAGTAGCCAGGGAAAACTTTCCAAGAAGCTGGTATCTAAATAAAGACCTGATGATGGTGAGGGAACAAAGCACAAAGTAACCTAGATAAATAAAATTCTAGGCAAAGGGTATGACTAATCCAGGAGGGTTGAAGCATTGATGTGCCCGTGGCTTGAGGATCCATCAGCAAGGAGGCCAGAATGACAGAAACTGAGGCTCAGAAGACTAGGGCAGAGTAAAGTCAGAAAGGTATCAGGAAACCCAGTTAGATAGCAGGTTAAGGAAGAATACTTCAAGAGAGAGTCCTGGATTCAGGCCTCATCATGTACAGACACTTAAAGGCAGTAAAACTCAATGAGGTCTTCCAAGTGGAGAGTGAGATGGAGAAGAAGATGAGGGCCAAGGATGAAGGCCAGTCAGTGGAATATCTATGTGATGTGGTAGCTAAGGAAAGGAAGAAAAATCAGCAAGATCTGAGGAGCGACAGCCAGACAAGCAGAAGGGAAACAGAGGGCAGGTGTCCTGGGAGTCAAGGAAAGAAAGTTTCAGGAGATGGAACTTTGTCAACAGACCAGGAAGGTCTGGCCCTGGGATCTGATCACTAGATCTAGCAACATAAAGGTCAGCAGTGACCAGACAAGAGCTGTTTTCTTTAGAGTTTTTGAGATTCTGGGGTTCAAACTTTAGGGCCTTGCACATGCCAGGCAAGTACTCTACTGTGAGAGCTGTTTTAGTGGGGCTGGTAGGATTGAGATCATGACTAGGATGAGTTCAAGAGAAAGGGATGGCAGAAAGTGGAGAAATGTATGCATAGGATTTTTTTTTTTTAGTTTTGCAATTGAGGGAACTAAGGATTAGGGGCAGAAGCTGGAGGGGTCTGTGGGAGCAAGAGAAGGCAGATGTGTATGCATGCACGTGGATGTAAGTAATAAAAACAGATGTGCATGCATATGAATATAAGCAATACAAACAAATCCCAACACATTAGACCCAAGAGATCCAGAAAACTGATAATGTGGGAAAGAAGGGAGTGATTGAAGCAATGCCATTTAGTTAGCCAAAGGGACAGGATATAGAACATAAACGATGGGTCATGGTAGGCTGAACTAAAATCTTGGTTCTATCACTGACAACTTTGGTGGCTTAGGGCAAAATTCTGGCCATCTCTGAGGATGTATTTTTCCTTATAAAGCAATAATTTCCTGGAATTACAGCACAATGTTTTAATGAAACAATGCTATTTCCTGACGCCTAGAGATAGTATTTTCCTTAATCTAGAAACATGGGATCCAAATCTTTTGAAGTGTGTCTTTCCCCTAAGTGCCTACTGAAAACCAGTGAAGTCCTACAGAGTGTACAGCCACACCCAAAATAAAGGTAATGCAAGATAACATGGTTACTTCGGCGATTCCTTTTCATCTTTGGTACATGTGTTGTCAGACAACAGCCTGTCTGCCCTCACAGATTCTGTCTTAATTGCTTTTGTGCCCTGTTCAACAGATGAATATCTTCCACGTCTCAGACAAGGTGCAAGACAGCAAGCACGATGGACAGAACTGATGGAAAGACTGAGAAACAAGCAGAGTCAAAAGGTCCATCTCCTAGGGTAGCGCACTGCTGCTGCTAGCCTTTAAGTCCAGGGTGGGTGATGACCCGTGAGCACAGGTACCTTAAGCCATGGGTGATTCAGTGCTTCATAAACAGTGATCCTTTCGGCGGGATCCAGCATCAGCATGCGGCGGACTAGGTCTTTGGCACTTTCAGAGATATGGCTCCACTGCCTTGGATTCATCTGAGGAGGGAACAAGGAAAGCTCCACAGTTATCTTCACCACTTACTATTGTTTAACATTCCATAATCTATACTATTTCAATGTAACATTCTCAGAGCAAATAACTGACATCGGAATGCCTGTTTCCCAAGGAAGAGGAGAACACAATCATTATATGAGGGTTTGTATCAGCAGTTACTCTCTTGGTGCTGCTAAATTGTAATATTTTCAATATTTAAAAGGTAGACCGACTGTGATTCTGGTTTCTAGTTATTGATTTTCAACTAAAAAGGGTAGAATATATAGATCTACAAAGTACTGGAATTTGAAATGAAAAAAATTAAGAAAGATTTGGTTTTTTTGGAGACAGTCTAGGATGGACTGAACTCACACTGTAGCCCAGGCTGACCTTGAACCTCCAGCCTCTAGAGTGCTGGCATTACAGATCCCACCACACCCGTTAAAGAAAGTTTTAAAAGCAATGTCTTCAAATACTGGGATCAGGTGCTGAGTGTGGTATATACCACTACAATTTTAGTAACTGGGAGGCCAAGGCAAGGGAATTTTGAGTTTAAGGTCAGCCTACGTTGGATAGAAATTCTCAAAGAAAGAATGATGCATACAAGCCCTAAAACAAAATTGGGAGTAACATTAATTGTGAAGCTATAAAAATTCATTAATTGAATATTCTGACCAGAGTATTCAAAATCTAAGGAAGAATACACTATCATCATAACTCCGTTAAATAGCCAATTCCACTTGTATTCTGTACTTGGTGATGTCACTTTTTTCTTTTAGAGAGGAGACAAGCAATTAGTGTGGTAAAATTGAACAAAACCAAACAATAAGAATTACGAGTTTTCAAAACGTCTTCTGATAATGGCTGTGGATCTTTGAGGCAAAAGCTGGAGGGCTCCTGGGAAAGGGGATATGTCTAAGCCCAGAAATGAGACAAACAGTCAAGGAGAGTGCTCGGAGCTTGGAAGGGAAGTGGGAACTGGAGGTAGTGATGGAGGTGGATCTTATTCCCTGTTCAACACCAGGAAGTTGCTTGATTGAATGACCATATGGGAGCTGCTAATTGCCAGGCACTTCATGTAGTAGTACAACTTTTGTAATGTTGCTGTTGTTTTTCAGTGTTGGAGACAGAGTCCTGGTCCTCACACATGCAAGGCCAAGTGTTCTGCTAAGGAGTTCCACCTCCAGCTCAGTGTGCTGGCTGTAACAGTAGAGATCTACGTAACCTCTTAAGATAAAATGATGGAGAATGAATACAGCAATTTAAAGTCAAAGGAAATCACAGCATGAAAGAATTATTCCAATTTGGCCAAGGGCTAGCAATAGATACTGAGCTTTGGCTCAGGCCAGGCTTGGAACTTACAGATGGGGAGGAAAAAGCTTCTCCATACTAGGGAGAGCTCTTACAATTGGACATTCTATTTTCCTTTTCTTAGATGCAAAATTACAATAACAACCACTTTAATTTGTTGAATTTTAGGAGATAACTGGCATGAGACTGCTTCAATATTGTCATCCTATTGGAACTGTGGTCAATGGACCTGCTTGAAAGTGGTGACTAATTAGGCAGGGCCTAGACAATTATGCTCCGTTGTCATTTTTTTTTTTGGCCAATTTGACACAAAGGGAAGCTCTTGGAAGGGGAAGTTCAATTGAGAAAATGCCTCCATCAGATGGGCCCGTAGATAAGTCTGTGGGGATTTTCTTGATTACTGATTGATGTGGGAGGGGAGGGCCCAAGCCACATCCGATGGTTGTATAAAAAAGCAGACTGAGCAAGCCACGAGGCACAAGTCCATACTCAACACAGGACCGTGGTGTCTGCTTCACTGCCTACTTCCAAGTTCTTGTGTGGCTTCCCCCCACTGATGGACTGTAATCTGTAAGCCAAGTAAACCTTTCCCCCCACAACTGCTGTGGGTCATGGCATTTCATCACAGTAGCAGAAACCTGACTAAGACACCCTTCTTCCCTATCCTGGGACTCATGTGATTTTCAAAATCTGATTTATTTTTTCTTGGCAAATGAAAAGATCCTAAAGTGGTGGCTACACATTTTGAAGAAAGGGTTTGCAATGGTGATTTCCTGCTCTTTTTATGAGGTGTCTAACACTGACAACACAGTCCTTCAGCTGGCAAGACTACATAAAATTGAGTTATCAGGGGCAAAAAAAATGGGTTAGAAAACAATCCTTTATTTGAAGAGCATTTACTTGAAATGTTAGCATGTATTCCAGTTTACTAGTATTCTCTGACATCTACCTTAAAAGAGCAAGTAAGGGGAGAATGACAGCATGTAGGGAGAAGGACAAATACTGTGTGTTTTTGCTCACACACAGAATCTAGATTTAAAACATATACATGCCAGGAAAGCAGAAGGGGGGCTATTTGGAGGAAGGGGACGGGGGAGGATGGGTAATGAGGAGCAAATGTTTATGTGTGTGTGTGTGTGTGTGTGTGTGTGTGTGTGTGTGTACACAAAAATGGCATAAGGAAACCCACTATTTTGTATGCTAGCAAAAATGTAATAAGAAAGTGGAAAAAAGGATCAAACAAGTCAGCAAATGAGAATCAGCTCTAAGACCAATGACAAGAGCCGGGGCAGCTTCCAACTGAGCTATACTACATTCAGAAGGTGTCATGGAGCTGTTCTTAGAATTGTCCAAGATCAGGATTTTACTGCTTCTTCAAGTACCATCAGGGTGTCAAAATGATTTTAGTTTCTGAGATGTTTTGGAATAACCTAAAAGTGTGGAAATGCAGAATAAGATTAGTTATTGAAGCTGAGGGCTCTTCCTATCCTTGTGTGATTGATGACTTCCATAATGAAGAAGCAGCAGTACATATGGACAACATTGTATCACAGTATGTTAAAAAGTAAAGATAAGGCACACAAAGTTCACAGAGATGGCAGAAACGGACCTATGCTTTAAACTGCTGATGAAAATCTGGGTCTTTTGTAAAGGAAGCTTTGAAAACAAACAAGAAGTGAGATTAGCCAAAGAAAATGGGAGATAAGTTGTAAGGCGCAAAGCTTCAAGTATTTAAAGCATTGGATACTTATTTTTACGCTTTGGTACAGAAATTATGGTATAGTTGCTACCTTATCACTTCCTATAATATTGTCACAATTTGTTAGAAATAGGAAATTTTAAAATAACTTGATTTTTGGACATCACGAACAGTCCAAATTTCTGCCAAGGCATAAAAATAAGTATTCAATGCTTTAAAAATAGACAAAATCAAATACCAGACGCTGTTGGAATGAAGCACATTGCCTTGGAAACCGGGAAGTTAGCAACTGAGCAAACACAAAGGAGGAATTCTATTATTAGCAAATGCTTATAACTCAAAAGGGCAGGTGGGAGATTTTATTATATGGTGACTATGCCATCAGCTGCTGAGAAGACTGAGCATATGAACTACTATGTCTCAGCCACTAGCATTGCTGTTATTCTTAACGTGGTACTTGCTTTTCTTCCTTCTTTCCTTCCTTCCTTTCTTTTCCTTCCTTCCTCTTTCTTTCTTTCTTTCTTTCTTTCTTTCTTTCTTTCTTTCTTTCTTTCTTTCTTTCTTTCTTTCTTTCTTTCTTTCTTTCTTTCTTTCTTTCTTTCTTTCTGGTGTTTCTGAGACAGCCTCACCATGTAACCTTAGCTAGTCTTTAGTTTTATATGTAGACAAGGTTGGCATCAAACTCAGATGCTCTTGCCTCAGGCTCCTAACAGCTGGGGTTAAAGGCATCACCACCATGTCTGGTCCTTGGCACATTTTTCAACTGAGTTTCTTCCAATACATTAGTATTTGTAATTTTATTTGGTTTGGTAACATTCAACCAGAAGGCCCAGCCTATGTATTTCTGATAATCGCTCACAATCTCCAAGGATAGGAGGGTGACGACTGCTTAATAAGCAAGCTCCTAGAGTATTTATTTACCTTGAAAGTAGCACTTTTATTTACTGATGGTCAATTGACTCTATGAGAAGCAGAAAAAAGCTATACTTCTTTCTGTTTCAGGAGGGTACTGTTTTCTCTTATGAGCTGACAGTGCACAAGGCAAACAAACTAAATTATCCACTATTTTCACCTCCAGGTGCTGTATCTACACTTTAAAAGGATGAGGCTGCAACTCTGAAACTACTTTTCCACATTATGGGCTACAAAGATGGCTCAGCTGTTAGAGTGAGTATTGGTGTTGCAGAGAACCTGCCCTCAAACCCCAGCTTCCACACAAGGTTCCCAACAACCACCTGGAACTCCAGTGGCAGGGAAATCGGCTATCTCTGGTGCACATACCCCCACACAAACACATACGTACACACAATTAAAAATCAAATACATCTTTAATAATTGTAGCTGACAAAAATGAAAAGAAAATGTTAGTGGTCCCAGTTTGGGACTAGTGTTACCCAAACTTGTAGTTGGTCTTATGTTACCAGGCATGGCCAAAAATGAAGCAATGATTCAGTTGAATAGAAAACATGAGCTTCAGTGATAATGGGGAAAAAATCTCCAACATTAATGCCTTGACCAGATACAAAGATATACACTCTCATAGTCCCAAACCCTACCAACTGCATGTGTTGGAATATGGCTAAAAACGTTAAGAATTGGGGCTGTGAATGGGCCTTCAGCTTACTTATTTCTGAGACACCTTAGGTCTTTTTTGATATAACCCTTCACAATGTCAGTAATAGCATTATTTTTTTAAATAATGAAAGCAGTAATCTCATAATTATAAGGCAATGATAATAGTTGAGGTTTTCAATGCACAGTAGCTACAGGATATGAATGTTTAACTCATATAAAAAGCCTCTCTATTGGAGCTGAAGATACGGCTTAGCTCTTCTGGAGGACCTCAGTTTGGGTCCTGGCATTCATGTTGGGTGGCTCACTGCCTGTAACTCAAGCTCCAGGGTATCTAACACCTCTGCTCTCTGCATGCACATAGTGCAAACACACAACATTAAATCAATACATTCTTTAGAGAAAATACCTCTGAACTGTTATGAAACATCAGTTTACTCAGTAATATAAAGTTATTTTTCTGCCTGGATGGTGGGAATTTAAAATTAGGATAAGACATGACTGAAAGTATCTGAGTGAAATTTCCATTTGAATGTTATAAATTAGGAAAAAAGCTTTAAAAATAAAAGCCTTTTCCTAACTATAAAAAAGGCCCATAGAAGTCTGCTTCTCGCTGAATTGAGTTCATGGTAACTCAAACTTACCCACACCCCACTGTACTTCACAAGACTACTGGGTCCCTGATGTCAACACAGCCCTTTGCTATGGTGGGGTGCGTACCTAGGTGACAGTCAGTTGGTGAGCAAAGACAGACAATAATTTCAAAACACTTTTTGAGATCTTTAAATCTGAATGGAAAATAAGTCATAATCCATTACCTTGTATTTTCCTTTAATAATGCCTTCAAACAATCTCTCCTTGGTTCCATAGAAAGGCAAACAACCGCTGAGCAGGATGAAAAGGATCACACCACAGCCCCAGACATCGACAGGCTTTCCGTAAGGCTCTCTCTTGACTACTTCTGGGGCCATAAAGTGAGGCGTCCCAACGCGTCCTATATTTAAAACAACAACATTCTGGGAAACTGGTTTTATGAAATGAGGTTTTTTTTTTTACTTGAAAGCTGAAATTAAAAAAGCAATATCAGCCGGGTGGTGGTAGTGCACACCTTAATGTCAGCAACTGGCCGACAGAGGCCGGTTGGATCTCTGTGAGTTTAAGGCCAGCCTGGTCTACAAAGTGAGTTTCGGGACAGCCAGGGTTATACAGAGAAACAAAACCAAAAAGCAATATCAGTCTGAATGAAAATTTTACCAATATCAATGTTCTTACACCACTTCTTTCCCCCTTATAAAAGGAATTCATGAAAGGAAAAAAATAGTTTATCTGACCACTTTTTGAAAACACTGGGTCTAGTTATTTCTTGCTTCTTCAAGAAGTTTAAATTTAGAGCCAGGGCAGGGGCAGGGGAGAGGGCATAAGAGAGCAACAATTTGATGGCAAAACACTTACTTTTAATTGCCAAGTTCCTATCAGGCTGATTGTAGCCAATTCCCAATAGTTACTGGAACGGGAAAATAGCTCCCTCCTAATGTTAACATTTGAAGACAATGAGAGCAAACAGAGGGCAAATTCAGGAACTCCCTTCCATGCAATCCTCTTTTGCTTTTTGCTTATTTTGAGACAGGGTTTCCCTGTGTAGCCCTAGCTGTCCTGGAACTCACTCTGTAGACCAGGCTGGCCTCGAACTCACAGAGATCCACCTGCCTCTGCCTCCCGAGTGCTGGGATTAAAGGCGTGCAGGCCTGGCTCACAGGAGTTGAATGCCAAAGTACCATCTGACTCTGACTCTCATCTTTAAAGAATTTTTCCTCCCTCTGGGACTAGCTGCTTGCGCATTAGAACCATCTTTGACTGAGTACTCTCAAGATAGACTTGCCCTCCATGGAGGAATAAAAGGCTTAAACTCTAGGGAAAGGACTTTGGGGTAGGCCACTGCCTACCAGGCAGCTCTTATATTTTGCAGGCCCAGCCCTGCCTCCCTTCCTCTGTTTGTCCGCCTGTCTCTTCTTTTGCTGAACTCAAGATCATCTTTACTTTGAAGATTGCAAAATACTTTATCTCACTGTGGTCCAGAGTTTAAAAAGAACCTAAGACATCTTTCAGTCCATCTACAGAGAATATGTTGCAAAGGCCTGTTGGTGGCTATCAAACTCAGCTGGGATGGAGAGGGTTAACCATCTCTGCTGCAGATCAGTCTGCTTTCTCTCCCACTCCTCATAATGCAAGAGTCAGCTCAGGGTTCCAACAGGGAAAACACCTTCAGTTAAAATGTACAACGAAAACGCAGTACCGACTACGAGGACCTGATGGGAGGCATACTTTTTATTTCTGGATAGTCTGGTTTTGCTGCCTCAAGCAGCATAAATGGGCTGCAGTGTTGGGAGCTGAACCTCCCAGTTCGCTGGCAGCTTCCACAACACAGAGTCCCAGAATAATAAACTTTGTTCTGATGGACACAGTAGGGGCTGGCAGAAGTAGGGAAAAGGAGGGCCAAGGGTTCAGGGTATCATTTCAAGTACTGCTCCCAGGACAGTCAGGTACCTGCTGAAATGTTCACATGGAACTTTGACAATCAACTCCTATGACTTCCTACTTAGGTCGAGTGACTCGTGTGTGTGGAATAATCCAAACCACCTGATCCAGACCCAGCCATCCCAAAGAGGCTCTCTTCATCCATCTGGACTCAAGAGAGCACAAGTATGGAGAAGTCAGCACTCTTGCTTTGGGAGGATGTATACTCTGAGCTCAAGAAATAGCTCAGAGATGACAAAGGTACACTGGTGGCTTTCTAATGTCAACGACATCAGTAATGTGAAACACTTCACTACACTCTTTGCTTTTGCTACTAATTTTCACTTTTTTGCAACCACTTGACTTTTATGACTTTGATCACAAAATTCTAAGAACAGGAAACCAATCACCAAACCAAACATGCAACTGCTTATGAACTACCTCAGATATTTACATAAATATTTACATGCTAATTTTCATGCAACGATAAAACCCTCCCTCAAACTTCAGGGAGGGAGCTGTTCTGAGTGGTTATGCTTTTTAATACTTTAGGATTTGAATCTCCATACACTCAGACTTTTTTTTAACCTTTTGTAGGCATTTTACAATTTCCTATTTTTCACATAGGATGTTACACACCAGTCAACCTTTTCGTGGTGACCTGCAGTTGTCATCCTGGCTATCAACAGAGACGTTCCACTACAGGAACCTCACAGGTATGTAAGGATAGATCTCTGCGTGAAGCTGTCCCACTTTGCTGTCACCTTTACTATATTTTTTTGTCATCAGGCTTTCATTTTCTTTTCTTTCGCCATGCACTCTCCAGTCTCGGAAACTCTTAATTTGTTGCTTATAATCTGCCACTAACTGGAAAATTACTAGTCACCAGTCTTTCATTTAAACATCTCCAAAGTGCTCGTTAGGTCCTCACCACCATGGTAGGTATACATGGATGAGCTATGGCTCTCCTACTCCTTACAAATCTCTTGTCTTTGCTTTTACTTCATGTCCTCGATCAAATTTTGTAAGGAAGTAGGTAACTTAGATAGTTCTGGTTACATGGAAGAGGGGGGATGACATTTATAATGTGCTTGCTTTTAAAAGGCAATAATTGCTAGCTTAGTCATCAAGCAAAAGACTAAACTTGACAGATAAAATGACAAAAGGCACTCTAAACAGATGGACTAGCAGGTGCAAATTATGAGGGTGCAGAAATCTATACAGTTTTATGAGAGCCAGGCAAAAGTCCTCCTCCTGTGTGTGTATTTACTTTTCAACAGAGAGGTCTATGAATGGGTTTTAAGGGTAAATGATTTTACTACATTGTAATTATTTTCTAGGTTGTATTCATGGTAAGTGGATTCTCTAGTCAAGTGTTAGATGGGGGAAGTATAAATGGAGTTCAGTGGTTTTAGCATATAGAACATATAAAGGACATAATCCTTTCTATTTGGAAACCCAGGTAATCAAAGGTTCCAATCTACAGGAAAAAAAGCTTCCTGTTCCCAAAGTTGGTAAACATTAGCAAAATTTCAAAAGTACTTTGAACAATAGGAAAGTTCTTTTTTCTAAGGGAAATCATGTGTTCCTTTATCTATTCATATTGTGTTTTCAAAGGCACTGCAATATTTAAAATAGTTACTTCAAGAATATACAGAAAGGTTCATTAAGAAGTGACAATATTTTGACTATTAGGAAGTATTTTAGGACTGGAGATGTAGCTCAGCAGAGTGCCTGCCTAGATGTACAAGCCCTGAGTTCCATCCTCAGCACATATTAAAATTTGGTGTCATGATGCACATCTGTAATCCTAGTGCTCAGGAGGTAGAGTCAGGAGGATCAGAAGTTTAAGGTCTTCCTCAATTCCTTGTCAAGTTAGAGGCCAGCCTGGGCCGCATGAAATCCTGCGTCAAAACAAAGTTTAAAAAGGATTTTCATTCTAGAGCATAGATAATAGGAACTTTTGAATAATGGACATGCTATGAGTTCAAAACTATTTGAAAAATAAAATTAGAGGGAGGGTTCATGGACTTTAGGAAAATGGCTGAACATGGAGGCAAACTTAATGAATCTACTTCCTCCTTTCAATCAAGATTTGTGAAATAAAACAGAGTCCATGCCACAGTGAATATGAACAGAATACAGATCTGGAGTAACATACACAAAGTCATTCACTACAGAACATATAAAAGGAATTTGGCTCATTTTTCTCATTTTCATGTTACTGGAAATGTTTAGCTGGAAAAGTATGTAAGATCAGAAGAACTTAACACAATTTAATTTCAAAGAGAATGTGGTAGAGAGTGATTTTTAAAATACAACTCTAATTCATGCTCATTTTTTTCAGAAGACAGTCCATGTCGTTACTGCTTGATGCTCTCTCTAGTCATAACGAAATTGAATGAAACGTCTCGTGTAACAGACAGCTTCTTTGATAGTTATGGTTTGGAAAGCATTTCAATTTAACACCAGCATTTATTTTCTTTTATAAGATAGTGTCTTGCTATATTGTCTAGGCTGGTCTCAAACTCAAAACCATCTTCTTGCCTCAGCCTCTGTAGTGCTGGGATTGCATGTGCACCGTACCTGCTTAACTTGAAGACTCCGTGGTAAGGGGTTGTTGTTATTCTTCATGAAGCTGGTAGTACTTGGAGGTGGAAAAGAGAAAGCACTGGCTACTCTGGCAGTGTGGAATGAAGAACTATACAATTTGTAAAACTAAGAAATAGAGGTAAACTCTGGACAACATTGTGGGCTGGAGTCTGCTGAAAAGAATAAATAAAGACCCCATAACACTGGAATCTTAATTAGCATCTACTTCTATACACCAGTGAAAAAAGTTCCTACTCTTACTTTCTTATTTTCTATTATGGTATAGGGATTTTAAAATCATGTTTGACTTTGGTGAATAAGATACTCAGCCTGTATGCTTATCTATTTGCTCTTCAGAAACACACAGGCTGGTGACTTCAGCAGGATTCTTTGATATATAGAAAAAGGAAAATGGTAGGAAATTTAAACTTAGACACACTGTAACCCTACAAGGTAAACAAAGATACTAGAAGTAACTTTATGTGTGCAGTTCAACTTCTGAAGCTTCTAGACTCCAAACAGTAACCACTTTGCGCACTGTTCTTGTATTGTGCTTCCTTGAACCTTCTTCTCTGTGAAGCCCTAGGGACATACACAGCACTTTCTGCAGTGCTGGAGATGGAACCCAGCACCTCATATATGCTAGACAAGTGCTCAGCCACCAAACTACACCTACATGCCCAGAGTCTGTTTTTTCTTCTTGGTTTTTTGAGACAGTGTTTCACTGTGTATCCCTGGCTGTCCTGGAACTCACTCTGCAGACCAAGCTTGTCTCAAACACACAGAGATCCTCCTACCTCTGCCTCCCCAGTGCTGGGATTAAAGGTGTGCACTACCACCACTTGGCCAGAGCCTATTTTTAAGGGACTAAAATTCTAGTTATGACAGCAGAGTTACTAAGTTGAAAACTATCAGATGGTGCTGGGTAGAACGGGGTGTGAAACACTCAGGCTGGATTAGTATCTAGTTTGAAATTTTACACCAGCTTAAAAGTTATAAGGTTTTGAAGGGGACAAACAAACATGTTACAGTTGTCTTACCTCCAGCGACAAGTCCAGATTCTCCTAACTGAATAGCTACTCCGAAGCCCCCAAGTTTAACAGGTGCCGAGTTTTCTTTTGAGGCGAGGAGAACACAGTGGGGCTGAAAAGAAAAACAGACAATCAAACCCGATGATAAGAATTAATGGGAAATAACTCAATTTACACAAAACTAAAGAATACAATATAATAGTACCTAAAAAATGGAATTGGGTTGGCAAGATGGCTCAGAGGGTAAAGGTACTGGGCCAAGTCTGACAACTTGGGACCCACAAGGAAGAGAGAACCAACTCCTACAAATTGTCTTCTGCCCCCAATAAAGCTACATGTATTAAAAAAAATAAAAAGCCTATTATTAAAAAACAAATTTCAGTTAAAACAAGCTTCTGAAGTTGGGCAGCAGTGCTGCACTCAGACAGGTAGATCTCTGAGTTTAAGGCCAACCTGGTATACAGAGCAAGTTACAGGACAGCCTCCAAAACAATACAGAGAAACCCTGTCTCAAACAAACAAGCAAACAAACAAACAAACAAATAAAGCTTCTGAATTACTTTATAGGCTGAATTCCTTGTCCTCTTCTCACTTCTGAATACTTTCTTTTTTTGTGCAATAGTCTCTTTATTTGATTGACAGTTTATATTTGTTTCAGCAAAAATACATGGTATACTTCCTCCTGCTACAATGTGATTTTACTTATAGTTACTATAGTTTGACCCTTAGGGGCTGCCAATGGCCTTTTCTTTGTTCACCCTCCCCATCTTCTTCATTTTCTTTATTTTTTCTATCTCCGAGAAAAGGAATCAAATGGTCATTTTGTTGTTGTTTTTTGAGACAGCGTTTCTCTGTGTCACTCTGGCTATCTTGGAATCACAATATAGACCAGGCTGGTCTCAAACACACAAAGATCTGTTTGCCCCTTCCTCCCAAGTGCTGGGATTAAAGGTGTGGATGTTGGGTTTTAATAACTTGACTTGAGCTGTGTTCCTAGGGATTTCTCCCTGGGCATGTCTTGCCTGTGGACTTATTTTCTTTCCTTCATTGTAGTAACAATGGTAGTTTCTTATAGGACCTCATCTTCATGCTTCTTCTTGGAAGTTTGTTGGAGGTGATGTCAGAAAAGAATAACTGTAGTGACCTTTCGTGCCTGCTCTCTGATACACCTAACAGTACATTTGAATGATTCTCAAAACGTGCCTAGTATGAAAAGAGAAGCCTGTTAGGCTAAAGCACTTTTTATTCTCTCTTATATGTTAGACTTACAAGCGGCTAAAAGCCACCCAGTGTGTGTGTGTCCTGGGAACTGACACCATTTTAAGTCAGTTTAGCTGACAAGCCAGTTGGCTTGAAAAAAGGCCCCACCATCCTGCACAATAAAACTGAGCTAGTGTACCCATACAGATGTTTGATAGTGATAAGCAGAAGTGGGAGGGATCCTTATTCTTCCCAATAAGAGCATTAGAAATCTCCAGAAGTTATTCTTACCGTTAGAACAATTTTAAAGGCCTTTACATAGTTATCATAAAGAAATGTCAACCCTAAAATATAAGTGTACATAAGTATATGAGAACAACAGAAAGAAAGAGGGGCAAGGGAAAGCAGGCACACAAAAGAATAGTGAACAAAGTGGCATGACAAAACCGTTAGAAGAACCTACGGGAGCTGGGATTGTAGCTCAGTGTAGAGCACATGCCCCGCACACGCAGGCCTGAGAGGATGGGCATGATTCAGGAGGAGAAGATACAGCTTACATCCAAACAGGGTCTCTTGGGCATGCTGGTGCAAGCATCTTATCATCTTCTTGGGAAAAGTATAAGCTTAAGTCAGAAGTCCATGGTACACTCCTCATAGTTGACTATATTTATTCTGAGGTTAACGTTATACCATATCTATCTAATTCTTACCACTATGTGGACTCAGCCATTTTCAATCAATTATGTGTGAAGCATCATCAAAATTGAACTTTAGGTAAAAATACAATAAATCCACAGATACAAATGGATAGATTATAAAGCAGAAAGTATATAATGTAAAATTAAGCTGGTGAGGACTTGGGAACTGCTATTTATTTGAGTGAGTGACAGAGGTAGGTCAAGCTTGACAAATTGGTTCCTGCAATTAGCCTTGGAGTGAAAATAAAGATTCCATTTACTGAAATGGGGAACCCTAGGGGAAGAATTTCAAAGATGGACTACTGAGTGCTAGGTCTTATAAAATTGGGTAGGGCAGGGGTTGAGATGAATTTGGGGATCAACAGCATGCTAATAGCCAAGATAATGAATCAATTTCTAACAGAGTGACTACTATTAGAGAAGAGGATGAAGAGTTAGGTCTTAGTGGGTAACTGGAGGACAGAAAAATGAGAAGAATACGGCAAAGGAAAAGTCATGGTCAGACAGTGAAACAAGATGACTATCAGAGTTTGTATCTTAGAAGCCAAGTGAAGAAACTTTTTTTCAAGAAGAAGTGCTTTGTAGTGATCAATGTTATTAAAGCCATTTTAAATTGAGAACTGAGAAGAGATGACTAGATTTGACAGTTTGGAAGTCACTGGTACCCATGATGAGAGTGGTATCAGTGGCACAGTGGAGATAAAGATGTCTATTGCTCTAGGTTCTGCAGGGAATGGGAAGAGATGATGTGGAGACAGAAAGTATAGATAGGCTCCAAAGTTTTCTGTGCTAGGAATGGAGATAGGGGATGCAGCTAGAGGAACATATGGAACTGAACAAGTCCTGCTCCCTCCAACCTTTTAACATTTACAAGTGCGGGAAAATAAACTTCCGGATCCCCACCCGTCTAATACAAATAACCATCGACACCTGTCATTCTCTAAAGCTTTTTACTACATGTGTGCTTGTAATTGTGTGCCATTTCAGAGGACAGCTTGAACAAGTCAGTTCTTTCCCTTGCCTGTGTAGGCTCTAGGGATCACACTCGGTCATCAGGTGTCGAGCATCTTTACCAGCTGAGCATCTTGCTGGCCCCTATTCTGCCATTTTTGCTTTACCTATCCTCATTAGCTACTGTTTTTGCTCAAACATTCAAAAACCAATCATATAATTCCACTTGTTTACCAAGTTTAGTGCTTCTAGCAGAGGACTTAAAAATAATTTCATTTTTAAATATAAATAACATATGTAAAACATTTTATATAAATCATTACCACATCAAAAGGTAATGATTATGATTACCTTTCTTTTAAAAATATTTTATTTTTATTTGTGTGTGTGTGTGTGTGTGTGTGTGTGTGTGTGTGTGTGTGTGTGTGTGTGTGTGTGTGTGTGTGCCTTGCAGAGGCTGAAGAGGTTATCTGACTCCTGGAGCTGCAGTTACAGGAAGTTGTGAGCCATTTGACGTGGGTGTTGGGAAGTGAACCATGGTCCTCCAGAAGAGCAGGAAGTTCTCTTAATTGCTGAGCCATCTCTCTAGTCCCTCTAATACTAGTACTATATTCAATCTTTCTTGACTATCAAAACAATGATTTTTAGTTGTGCTTTAGTTTAAAATAAGAACCAAACCCTAGTATTTGGGAGGTGAAGACAGGAAGATCAGGAGGAGTTCAAGAGCAGCCTCAACTGCATATTAACAGTGAGTCTGAGCCAACCTGGGCTCCAGAAGATTCTATCTCAAAACAAACAAACAAACACGTAAATTAAATGGAATCCATGGCCCATATATTACCTTATTGCAGAATAGATTTCCCCTTCTGGTATATTCTTCCCCCTCCCTGATTTTCACAGTAGTGATACTCAGTAATTTCCCCCATAAAAATCCCCTACAGTCTAGATTTAGCTAGTAGTACCCACAGGGTTTATAATTTATTATGTTTTGTACTTTGCTGCATTTCATGGAGATTCATAGTTAGGTCCAGAATATTTTTATTTTATTTTATTTAAATAACATTTTAAAATTTATTTTATATACTGATCACAGCTTCCACTCCCTCTTCTCCTTCCAGTCCCCTTCCCCCTTCCCATCTACTCACCTCCCCTTTTACTCCTCCTCCATCTCCATTCAGAAAGGGGCAGGCCTCCCATGGGCTTGAGTAAAGCATGGCACATCAAGTTGAGGCAGGAGCCAGCTCCTACCCTAATCTTTGTTTGTTTGTTTGTTTTGTTTTGTTTTTCAAGACAGGGTTTCTCCGTGGCTTTGGAGGCTGTCCTGGAACTCACTCAGGCTGGTCTCGAACTCACAGAGATCCGGCTGCCTCTGCCTCCCGGGTGCTGGGATTAAAAGCGTGTGCCGCCACCATCACCTGGCTCCTCCCCTAATCTTGATTAGAGTCAGGTTCCATTTCAGCTTTATGTACTAATACTTCATGTGGTTTAATTGTTACATCTCATCAGTAAGGACATGTCTGGTTGCCCTGCTTTAGTTACAGTAGTCAGCTGTAGGTTCAGGTGCTAATTGTCTGACCCATCATGGGATTTATTATCAACTGTTCACTTAATGATGTTAGCAGCCTCATTTCAAAGAGTCACACTTTGGGATCCTAAAATCTTAGTATCTGTAAAAACCCTGAAGTAAGATTTACATAGCATGAAATGTACATGTCATAATGTACTACTAGAGAGTTTTGATGAAGCACATCTGTACAACCCAGAGTCCTACCAGGACAGTACCACCACCCCGTAAACCTCCTTGTCCACTTCCCATCCAGTCTCTGCTGCCATCCCACACCCTTCTGTGACCTTTTCATCAAGGGCTTGCTCTGCCAGTGTTCGGACTTCATATATATATAAAATCATATGCCCTGTTTCATGCAAGATTTCTTTTAGCACATTTCCAAGATCCAGCCATTTTCTTGTGGTCAGGAAGGGAAGTCATTTCTTTTTATTACTGTATTCCATAGTATTAATCAACCCATTTTTTTCTACTCTCCTATGGATGGACATTTTGGGCTGTCCCCCCCCCCCCCGTGTGTGTGGTATATGCATGTGTGTGCAAATGCGCATGCCTATAAACATGGAGATCAGAGGAGGCATCCCGTGTCATGATCTATCACTTTTCACCTTATACCTTTGAGGACAAGTTGCTCACTGAACCTGGAGCTAGACTGGACACCAACAAACCCCAGGGATCCTCCTGACTCCATCCACCACC